CAACAGATTAAAACTAACTTAAGATTCTTGGTGTTATGGTATAGAATTTAACCAAGAAGTCTTAAGCCTGAAGTGGACAGTAGTTGTTTAAAATGAAATAAGATGAAGCTGGTTGTAAATAGGTGAACTAGTTATAAATGAGAGGGAGTTATAGTGGCAGTAAAAGGATGTTACATTTGCCATGTATAGACTGCTCCCCCTTATTTTAGTGATAAACTGATTGGCCCATTAGCTCAGGCTTCTTATTAACTCTTACAACTTATATTAGCCCATTATTCTAGTATATGTTAGCCACATGGCTTGGTTCCTTTTTCAGCGAGGCAGTCACATCTTGCTTCCTCTGTGGCTGGGTAAAGGACTGTATCCTCTTCCCATAATTCCCCTGTTCTCATTGACCCACCTCAACTTCCTGTCTGGTTGTCCTGCCTATACTTCCTGCCTGGCTACTGGCCAGTCAGTGTTTATTTAAAATATAATTGATAGAATATAGATGATTTTCCCACACCACTTCTCCCTCTTTTTTAAAAAATAAAAAATAAGAACTCTGAATCTAATATTCTTTGATTAGCTTTTCTCCTGACCATTATCCATAACAACTTATAACCAACATTCTAAACAAAGGAAAATATTCATAGTCCATTTTTGGGAATGAGGGTGTAGTTTTCCAGGCTACTTCCTGCTTGTTGGGGGTGCTGATAATCTTATGGGGACCTAATAAAAATTTAAAATTATGATCAAGTAATGACTGGAGTATCCTGTGAAGCTTCATCATCTCTGGCAGCAGTCTTGACTGTGTTCTAGATGTAGAACTCAGACATCTGGGCGATCTGTTCCTTCTGAAGATTTCTCAGGTGGTCTTCCTTGATCAAACTTGATTTTTCTTAACTCAGAATGAATCCACAGCTTCTCATTTCCTGCAGAAACAAAAGCAAAACCTCTTCTCCAAAGTAACATACCTTTTGACTTCAATTTTGAAGTCAAGTTTTTTTCTAAATATTTATGTTTTATTAATCCAGCAGCATTTATATTTAAATGTCTTTTAGCAATTCAAAGACAGGATAATAATATAAAGTATCCAGATTCTCTGTGTCTTTTTCATCTTTACATGGCTTTATTTTAACCTCTATTTCTTTTATTTTTACTTTTAATTTTTGGCTTTTTGAGACAGGTTCTCTGTGTATCTTTGGCTGTCCTGGAACTCCCTCTGTAGACTAGGCTGTTTTTGAACTCACAAAGATCTGCCTGCCTCTGCCTCCCAAGCATTGGGATTAAAGGTGTGTGCCACCACTCCCAACTACTCTCTTTTTTTATTTTAAGGACTTTAACCTTTTTCTTTTCTCTCCCAAGCCTGTATATAATTTTTAAACACACTGTAAACCATTTATAGGTTTTCTTTGAATCTATCTTTACTGTATCTCTCTCTCTCTTTCTGACCACATGAGTCTTTAATATGCAAAGCAATATGGAAAGGATTAAAGCCGTGACTTTGACGGCTGGATCCAGCCCATTCCTTAGCTTTCTGAGATTCGTGCCTCATGGTAGAGGTACTGCGGCAGCCATGTTTATTGTCACAACTCTATGGCATTTCAAGGTCCCTGCGACCAAGCAAGCTCCAGCAGTCTGTTCACAAACCACACTCAAATGCTCTGTAGCTAGACCTCTTGTCTGAAAGAGTCAGATTTTGGCACTAGCAGGATGGCCCAGAAAGCCGGCTTAAAATAGAGTGGCTTTATTCCTGCTATGGATGAAAACCTAAAAAGCATTTGGTCAGCTTTTCATCAACACCATTTAAGTGTTTCGTGGCAGGACCTCTTAAAAGAACTGCAAGGTTTTGCAGCTAATACTGAGTCAGGAAGCCTTTCTTAAATGGGAGCGCTTGCCTCTAACAAGCAGAGCCCACTAGAGAAAATGTTGCTATTAATAAGCCATGCGTTACTCTTATTTTTTGTCTAGTATTACTTTTTAAGCTCCCTCAGGCTTTATGTGGATACAGTTGTTCACACGTTGGGCACCATTCTGATGTCAGGATTTCTGTCCTGCCCAGTTCCCACAGTCATTAAGTCCTAAAGAAATCACACAGAGGTCTACATTAGTTATAAACCGATTGGCCCATTAGCTCAGGCTTCTTATTAACTCTTATATTAGCCCATTATTCTAGTATATGTTAGCCACATGGCTTGGTACCTTTTTCAGCGAGGCAGTCACTTCTTGCTTCCTCTACAGCTGGGTAAAGGACTCAGCTGCTCCCTTTTTGGTGAAAAGTAAAAGTAGGATGCCAAAGCTGCAGAAAAATTTGATACTTGTTATCACAAGTTTATTGTATGCATATTATATCATCTTTAAGTATGGAAAAAGTAATGCAGTAGTAGTCAGTCTGATTACTCTTTAACTTTGTAAAGTAAAACACTCCAAGTAAATGTAGTTGAGCTTTGAATATGTTTATAATTTCATCTCTCTCCCTCAAAAGCTTGTTTATTTAGAAATAGTGGATTTTAGTATATAAACATTATTAAGTTGTTAAGATGTTGATACTGAACTATCTCATTTGTTTATTTGGTATTTATTTATTTATTTATCTATCTTATTTATTTATTTATTTATTGCTGGTAACATAATCAAAATTAGCCTGGCAATCAGTCTTCATCCAAAGTATTAAAATGGCCTAAATTGGGGTGCCAGGTAGCTGGAAGCTGCATATGACATGAGCATTTTCTGAAGCTGTATAGCATCTGAGTCTTTTCAAGACAACACTGTCTTAGAGAGTATACATTATGAGTAGAACCTTTATAATTTGCCATACCTATTCAATATAATGTGTTTTAGCTTTAAATGTACGTAAATTTGTCTTTCATTTTATAACATAACAAAGTTGAGAGTAAACCAAAGAGCAAGAGAGTCACCAAACCTTGGAAAGAACAGGCCACTCCTTTTGAAGATGAAGCAGAAGCCCCAGGTGATTGTGTTGCTTTATCTGTCTGTATTGACTTACAAGGTGATTCTTGTGTATTGAGTGAATAATGATGTAGTGTTTTCAGAAGGAAAGACCTTTTCATTTTAAGAAAAAAATTTTTAGCTGGGCATTGGTGGTGTACACCTTTAATCCCTGTATTCAGGAGGTAGGGGCAGGTGGATCTCTGTGAGTTCAAGGCCAGCCCGGCCTACAAAGTGAATTCCAGGACTGCTAGGACTATTAAACAGAGAAACCCTGTCTCAAAAAAAATTTTTAAAAGAAAACAAATTTTAAAAGTAAAAATGATAATTTTATAGAATTATCACTGTGATAATTCAAATTAGATAATTATTCTAAGAAATTCATCCTTTTGAGAATTAAATGGTTTTCTGATTATAAACTATTTTGGTTTTTAAAACAGAAAACTCTTTGTTGCAATTATAATTTAAGTCTAACCTTTCTCCCTTCCTTTAACGTCTCTCCAAACTCTACCATATACCTTTCCTGCTCTCCAAATTCATGACCTCTTTTCTCACTAATTCTCACATACTAATGCATGTAATCTACTGCATGCATATGTGCGTGTGTATATAAATATATAAAATGTATTTCTAAATATAACCTGTCCAGTCTGTATAATGCTACTTGTATGTATGTTTCCAGGGCTGGCTTTTTGGCACCAGACAAATAATTGTTGTGCTTTTCCTTGAGGAAGGCCACTTCTCCAGTTTCCAGCTTTCCTTGGTTGCTCATAGTTCACTGTATAGGGTTGGCACATTGTGGACTTTTCTCTTTCCAGTTTGGCATATGAATAGTGAACACAAAAATGATCTGTAGGTGTAAAGGCAAATATTTATAGATTTTTGTTAGAAATTATGCTGGTTTAGCAAATTAGTGGTTGTAGATTCTCCTCCAATAACCATCACTTTACTAGCACAGAGGTTTTAGGTGGGTTTCAAATAGCAGGCATAGTCTCCCTCTTGTTGAGTTGTAGATTTTACGTCCAAGTAAAGTGCTATTGGTTACTGCCAAGGTATATGTGCCACTAATACATCCTTAGGTTATCATGTCATGATGGGCATTATGACATCAAATGATCAATAGGATAGCCTTTTCATGACTATGCTGTAGTAGAAATTTTTTTGGCATACATACTAAATGGAACATAATACCTTCTCGCTTTAAGTGGACATATTTTTTATTTTTATTTTATACCTCAATAACACTGAGAAAAATTATGTGTATTGATTTACAACCTGACTCCTGCATATTCAATAATGGTATAATGTTTTCAGTATAGAGTTGCAGTCTGGTGGACTTTTCTCTGTCCAGTTTGCATACATATCACTTTTGTTAAGCTCTTGTTTGGGCAATCATGTTGATGAAACTTTATGGGTACTGTTTTTTATATTACTGAATGACACAGTCTTACAGCAAGCTCCCCTATATTCTGACCTATCAAATCTTTCTACTGCCTCTTGGACAGTGTTCCCTGAGCCTTTCCTAAGGTGCAGGAGTATTTTGTAGATGGATTCATTGTAATTGAGCTCCATGTCTCTGGATTTTGAAAGGTTGTGGATATTTGTAGTGATGTTTGTGATTTGCAAAGAGACGTTGCCCTGATGAAGAGTACAGACTACTATTGTCTTAGGATATGAGGACAAATGTTTATGAATTATTGCTAGGGATTACCTTGTTTAGTAAATCAGTGCTTGTAGATTCTTTTCTAATAATCATTTCACCAAGCACAGAGTTTTTACTGGCTTTCTGGTGCCAGGCATTCTCGCCTTCTTGTTTAACGAGTCTTAAGTTCAACTAAAGAGCTGTTGATTACAAAGAAGGTATGCATGCCACTGCTCTATACCTAGAGTTGTCATACCATGAAGGGCATTGTTACATTTCAAGTGAGCTTAATGGTAGCCTTCTTTAGAATGTATGCATTACCATTAGATGTTTTATTATTTGGCAAACATAGTGGATTAAACAAAATGTGTTCGTTCTAGCTCTCAATGTACATGATATTTATGTTTCATTTTATACTTCAATAAAGCTAAGAAAAAGCCCAGGGGCAAGACAGTCACCAAACCACGGAAAGACCAAACCGAACTTTTTGAGTATGAAGAAGCAGCCCCAGGTGATTGTTCTGTTTTTACTATATTGATTCATATAATGTTTGCCATATATTTAATAATGATATAATGATTTTAGGAGGCAAGACTGTTTTTACCTTTAAATAAACAAATATAAGTACCAAATGATAAATTTATAGGAATTTTCAATGTGATAAGTCAAAATTGTTTCTTAGTATAAGAAATTCATTCTTTTGGAGAATTATATTGTTTCTTGAATACAGATTCTTTTAATATTTTCAAGAAGTATCTCATATTTATTGAGATTATCATTTAATTGCAACCTTTCTCCATACCCATTCCTCCCTTGAAAACCTCCCATTTTAACCACCTTCTCTGTGCCATAATTCATGACCTCTTTTTTTTTTTAATTAAATCACTACTTTGCCTACTATCTCTAGATTCTAATTGGCTATCTCTTACATCTTAATTTAGCACATTACTATTAATCTGTGTATTGCCATATGGCTGTGGCTTACCAGCAAGGTTCCATCTGGCATCTGTCTCTGGCAGGGCTACATGGTATCTCCTGACTCCGACTTCTTTCTCCCAGCATTCAGTTTAGTTTCCCCTGCCTAGCTCTTTTCTAGCCTGCTATAGGCCCAAAGCAGTTTCTTTATTAAACAATGGTAATCACAGCATACAAAGGGAATCCCACATCAATGGAACAGCTATCACCAAACATGGTACAGGTGACAGTTTTGAGGTACATGAAAGGACAGCAGTTGTCTTCTCCTCATTCTATCTCTTTACCACAAAGCACTGTCCAGACTCAGAGTGTCCTCCCTCTTGGACAGACTTGACCCAAAGACCTCAGGTCCTTCTCTCCAGTGTGCTCTATCCCTCTCTAAGTCCCAGCTTTACTCTTCCAACACAGATATGCTCCATTTCCTGTTTTTACAACTCTTCCTCATTCACCAGTGAGCACCCCTTCTGAAGGCAGGCTGGTAATGCCAGCTCCACCCCTTTATCTTCAACTCCCACCTTTGCCCCTTCCCCTAAGTGCCAGTCTGTCTTTCTGTGCCATCATTTTCTACCATAAATTCACAAAGAAATTCTTCCTGAATTATTTCTAACCCTCATGGTCTCCAAGGGCTGTTCTGTTACCTTCCTGATTGCCCCCAGCATCTGATAGCGTCCATGCCCAGGCCAAGTACGATGGATTGGCATGTGCATTTACTTCTTTTTTTTTTAATTTTTTTTTATTGAGAAAAGGAGAAAAAAAAAAAACAAGTTTCCACCTCCTCCCAGCCTCCCATTTCCCTCCCCCTCCTCCCCCCCTACGCCCCCTCCTCCCACCCTTCTCCCTCTCCCCCCACTCCTTTCCCCCTCCTTCTCCAGTCCAAGGAGCAGTCAGGGTTTTCTGCCCTATGGTAAGACCTAGGACCTCCCACCTCCGTCCATATCTAGGAAGGTGAACATCCAAACTGGCTGGGCTCCCACAAAGCCATCACATTACGTAGGATCAAACCCCCGTGCCATTGTCCTTTGCGTCTCATCAGCCCTCATAGTTCGCCATGTTCAGAGAGTCCAGTTTTATCCCATGCTTTTTCAGTCACAGTCCAGCTGGTCTTGGTGAGCTCTCAATAGATCAGCTCCACTGTCTCAGTGGGTGGGTGCATCCCTCATGGTCCCGACTTCTTTGCTCATGTTCTCCCTCCTTCTGCTCCTCATTGGGACTTTGGGAGCTCAGTCCAGTGCTCCAGTGTGGGTCTCTGTCTCTATCTCCATCCATCACCAGATGAAGGTTCTATGATGATATGCAAGATATTCGTCAGTATTGCTCAAGGATAGGGTCATTTCAGGTTCCCTATTCTCAACTGCCCAAGGAACTAACTGGGGACCTCAGCTTGGGCACCTGGGAGCCCCTCTAGGGTCAGGTCTCTTGCCAGCCCTAAAGTGGTTCCCTTAACTAAGAATTGTGGTTCCGTGCTCCCCTGTCCAACCTTCCTTTATCCCAATCCTCCTGCTTTCCCAAGGCCCGACCTCCTTCCCTTCTAACTTTTCTCTCCCCATCTCCCCTTACCCCCAACCCACCCCACCCCAAGATCCCAATTTTCTCCCCGTCAATTTTGTCTACTTCCCTTAGCCAAGAGGATAACTATATGTTTTTCCTTGGGTTCCCCTTCTTACTTAGCTTCTTTAGATTCACCTATTGTAGACTCCGTGACCCTTATTTATGGCTAGAAACCAATTATGAGTGAGTACATCCCATGTTCATCTTTTTGGGTCTGGGATACCTCACTCAGGATAGTGTTTTCTGTTTCCATCCATTTGCATGCAAAATTCGAGAAGTCATTGTTTTTTACCGCTGAGTAGTACTCTAATGTGTAGATATTCCATACTTTCTTCATCCATTCTTCCATTGAAGGGCATCTAGGTTGTTTCCAGGTTCTGGCTATTACAAATAATACTGCTATGAACATAGTTGAACAAATGCTTTTGTCATATGATAGGGCATTTCTTGGGTATATTCCCAAGAGTGGTATTGCTGGGTCCAGGGGTAGGTTGATCCCGAATTTCCTAAGAAACCGAAACACTGACTTCCATAGTGGTTGCACAAGATTGCATTCCCACCAGCAATGGATGAGGGTACCCCTTCCTCCACAACCTCTCCAGCAAAGGTTATCATTGGTGTTTTTGACTTTAGCCATTCTCACAGGTGTAAGATGATATCTCAAAGTTGTTTTGATTTGCATTTCCCTGATTGCTAAGGAAGTTGAGCATGACCTTAAGTGTCTTTTGGCCATTTGAACTTCTTCTGTTGAGAATTCTCTGTTCAGATCATTGCCCCATTTTTTAATTGGGTTAATTAGCATTTTAAAGTCTAGTTTCTTGAGTTCTCTATATATTTTGGAGATCAGACCTTTGTCTGTTGCGGGGTTGGTGAAGATCTTCTCCCAGTCAGTAGGTTGCCTTTGTGTCTTAGTGACAGTGTCCTTTGCTTTGCAGAAGCTTCTCAGTTTTAGTAGGTCCCATTTATTCAATGTTGCTCTTAATGTCTGTGCTTCTGGGGTTATAAATAGGAAGCGATCTCCTGTGCCCATCTGTTGTAGGGTATTTCCCACTTTCTCTTCTATCCTTTTCAGTGTGTTCGGGCTGATATTGAGGTCTTTAATCCATTTGGACTTGAGTTTTGTGCACGGTGAAAGATGTGGGTCTATTTTCATTCTTCTACAGGTTGACATCCAGTTGTGCCAGCACCATTTGTTGAAGATGCTTTCTTTCTTCCATTGTATACTTTTAGCTCCTTTATCGAAAATGAGGTGTTCATAGGTTTGTGGGTTAAAATCTGGGTCTTCTATACGATTCCATTGGTCGACTTCTCTGTTTTTATGCCAGTACCACACTGTTTTCCTTTACTGTAGCTCTGTAATAGAGTTTGAAGTCAGGGATGGTAATGCCTCCAGAAGATCCTTTATTGTATAGGATTGTTTTGGCTATCCTGGGTTTTTTGTTTTTCCATATAAAGTTGATTATTGTCCTCTCCAGATCTGTGAAGAATTTTGATGGGATCTTGATGGGGATTGCATTGAATCTATAAATTGCCTTAGGTAGAATTGCCATTTTTACTATGTTGATCCTCCCAATCCAAGAGCAAGGTAGATCCATCCATTTTTTGGTATCCTCTTCAATTTCTTTCTTCAATGCCTTAAAGTTCTTGTCAAATAGATCTTTCACTTCCTTGGTTAGATTTACCCCAAGATATTTAATGCTGTTTGTGACTATCGTGAATGGTGAAGCTTCTCTGATTTCCCTCTCTGCTTCCCTATCCTTTGTGTATAAGAGGGCGACTGATTTTTTGGAGTTGATCTTGTATCCTGCCACATTACTAAAGCTGTTTATCAGCTGTAAAAGTTCTTTGGTGGAGTTTTGGGGGTCGCTTAAGTACACTATCATATCATCTGCGAATAACGAAAGTTTAACTTCTTCCTTTCCAATTCGAATCCCCTTGATCCCATTATGTTGTCTTATTGCTATTGCTAGAACTTCAAGTACTATATTGAAGAGGTATGGAGAGAGTGGACATCCTTGTCGTGTTCCTGAGTTAAGCGGGATGGCTTTGAGTTTCTCTCCGTTTAATTTGATGTTAGCTGTCGGCTTGCTGTATATAGCTTTTATTATATTTAGGTATGACCCTTGTATCCCTAATCTCTCCAAGACTTTTAACATAAATGGATGTTGAATTTTGTCGAATGCTTTTTCAGCATCTAATGAGATGATCATATGGTTATTTTCCTTCAGTTTATTTATATGCTGGATTACATTGATAGATTTTCGTATGTTGAACCAGCCCTGCATCTCAGGAATGAAGCCTACTTGATCATAATGGATAATTTTCCTAATGTGTTCTTGGATTCGGTTTGCCAGTATTTTGTTGAGGATTTTTGCGTCGATGTTCATGAGTGAGATTGGCCTGTAATTCTCTTTCCTGGTTGAGTCTTTGAGTGGTTTTGGTATCAGAGTAATTGTGGCTTCATAAAAGGAATTAGGTAATGACCCTTCTGTTTCTTTTTTTTTTTTAAATTTATTTATTTATTAAGGATTTCTGCCTCGTCCCCACAACCGCTTCCCATTTCCCTCCCCCTCCCCCGATCAAGTCCCCCCCCCTCATCTGCTCGAAGAGCAATCAGGGTTCCCTGACCTGTGGGAAGCCCAAGGACTGCCCACCTCTATCCAGGTCTCGTAAGGTGAGCATTCAAACTGCCTAGGCTCCCACAAAGCCAGTACGTGCAGTAGGATCAAAAACCCACTGCAATTGTTCTTGAATTCTCAGTATTCCTCATTGTCCACTATGTTCTGTTTCTATATTGTGGAATACATTAAGGAGTATGGGTATTAGCTCTTCTTGGAAGTTCTGGTAGAATTCCGCATTGAAACCATCTGGTCCTGGGCTTTTTTTGGTAGGGAGGTTTTTGATAACAGCTTCTAATTCTTCGCGACCAACAGGTCTGTTTAGATTGTTCACCTGGTCCTGGTGTAACTTTGGTATATGGTATTTATCTAAAAAAGTGTCCATTTCTTTTACATTTTCCAGTTTTGTGTTATACAGGCTTTTGTAATATGATCTGATGATTCTCTGAATTTCCTCTGTGTCTGTGGTTATGTCCCCCTTTTCATTTCTGATCTTATTAATTTGCGTATTCTCTCTCTGCCGTTTGATTAGTTTGGATAGGGGTTTATCAATCTTGTTGATTTTTCTCCAGGAACCAGCTTTTTGTTTCATTGATTCTTTGGATTGTTTTCTGTGTTTCTATTTTGTTGATTTCAGCCCTCAGTTTGATTATTTCCAATCTTCTACTCTTCCTAGGTGAGTCTGCTTCTTTTTTTTCTAGAGCTTTCAGGTGGGCTGTTAAGTCTTCAATATGTGCTTTCTCTGTTTTCTTTAAGTGGGCACTTAGTGCGATGAACTTTCCTCTTAGCACTGCTTTCATAGTGTCCCATAAGTTCGAGTATGTTGTTTCTTTATTTTCATTGAATTCAAGGAAGACTTTAATTTCTTTCTTTATTTCTTCCTTAATCCAGGTATGGTTCAGAAGTTGACTGTTCAGTTTCCATGAGTTTGTAGGCTTTCTGGGGGTAGCATTGTTGTTGAATTCTAACTTTAATCCATGGTGATCTGATAAGACACAGGTGGTTACTAATATTTTTTTGTAACTGTGTAAGTTAGCTTTGTTACCGAGTATGTGGTCAATTTTCGAGAAGGTTCCATGAGCTGCAGAGAAGAAGGTATATTCTTTCCTCTTCAGGTGGAATAATCTATAGATGTCTGTTAAGTCCATTTGCTTCATTACCTCCATTAATTCTCTAATTTCTCTGTTAGGTTTCTGTTTGATTGACCTGTCCATTGGTGAGAGAGGAGTGTTGAAGTCTCCTACTATTAGTGTGTGGGGTTTGATGGCTGCCTTGAGTTTTAGTAATGTTTCTTTTACATACGTTGGCGCTTTTATATTCGGGGCATAGATATTCAGGATTGAGACTTCATCCTGATGAATTGTTCCTGTTATGAGTATAAAATGTCCCTCTCCATCTCTTCTGATTGATTTAAGTTTGAAGTCAACTTTGTTAGAAATTAGTATGGCCACACCTGCTTGTTTCTTAGGACCATTTGCTTGATAAGCCTTTTCCCAGCCCTTTACTCTGAGTAGGTGCCTGTCTTTGTGGTTGAGGTGTGTTTCTTGTAGACAGCAGAACGTTGGATCCTGTTTTCGTATCCAATCCCTTAGCCTGTGCCTTTTTATAGGTGAGTTGAGCCCATTGACATTAAGTGATATTAATGACCAGTGGTTGTTAACTCCGGTCACTTTTTTAGTAGTAGGGTTTGTGTGTTTCCCTTCTTTGAGTTGCGCTGGTGAAAGGTCTCTAGATGACTGAGTTATTGTGGGCATTGTTGGACTCCTTGGTTAGTGATTTTCCTTCTATAATTTTCTGTAAGGCTGGATTTGTGGCTACGTATTGTTTGAATCTGTTTTTATCCTGGAAAATTTTGTTTTCTCCATTTATAGTGAACGAAAGCTTGGCTGGATATAGTAGTCTGGGCTTGCATCCATGATCTCTTAGTTTTTGCAGTACATCTATCCAGGACCTTCTGGCTTTCATGGTTTCCATAGAGAAGTCAGGTGTAAGTCTGATAGGTTTACCTTTATAAGTAACTTGGCCTTTTTCCTTTGCGGCTCTTAATATTCTTTCTTTATTCTGTGTATTTTGTGTTTTGATTATTATATGGCGAGGGGATGTTTTTTTTTGATCCAGCCTATTTTGTGTTCTGTATGCTTCTTGAACCTTCATAGGTACCTCTTTCTTCAGGTTGGGAAAGTTTTCTTCTATAATTTTATTAAGTATATTTTCTGTACCGTTGAGCTGCACTTCTTCTCCTTCTTCTACTCCAATTATTCTTAGGTTTGGTCTTTTTATTGTGTCCCAAATTTCCTGAATGTTTTGTGATGAGAATTTTTTGGTTTTGCTGTTTTCTTTGATCAGTGTGTTTATTTTTTCTATGGTATCTTCAGTGTCTGATATTCTCTCTTCTATCTCTTGTAATCTGTTGTTAGTACTTGTTTCTGTCATTCCTGTTCGTTTACCCAGATTTTCCATCTCCATTCTTCCCTCGGTTTGTGCTTTCTTCATTGCTTCCATTTCATTCTTCATGTCTTGAACCGCTTCCCTAACCTGTTTGATTGCTTTTTCTTGTTTCTCTTGGTTTTCTTGCGTGTCTTTGAGCGATTTATTCATTTCCTCTACCTTTTTGTTTGTAATCTCTAATTGTTTATGGCAGTTTTTCACCTCCTGTTTAAGGTCCTCTATTATTTTCATATAGTTCACTTTTGAGTCGATTTCTTCTATTTCTTCGGGAGTAGGGTGTACAATTCTTCTTATTTCGGGATCCCTGGTTTCTGGTGGTGTCATGTTGCCTTTCAGATTGTTGGAGGAATTCTTGTATTGGCGCCTTCCCATCTCTTCCTTCAAATGGAGCCAGGAGAGGCCTGGTCTCTTGGTCCAGACTTTGCTGTGATTGACTCTCAGGGTATATCTCTTCAGTGTAGAAGCAGGAACCGTTCCCGTCCAGATGGGATTCCTCCGCAACCATCCTGATGGGATTCCTCAGCAACCGTCCTGATGGGATTCCTCAGCAACTAAACAGGGCCGCAGGTAGCCCAATGATCCAGGGCCAACAGGATGAATTGAGCAGGGGGGGGGGGTGGTATCCAGGAGCGCGCAGGAAGCCTGGTGCCAGAGCTGAAGGTGCCCGACTCCCTTACAGGGGACCCTGAGGCCTGCCCGGCTGGCAGGCACTCACCGCTCTGGGTGGGTCGCCTTAGTTTAGGAGCTTAAGACTGTAGTTGAGCACTGGTCCTAGCATACAGCGGGGCAGGGTTGGGGAGGGGTGCTGGGTCGTGCGAAAGAAAGACAGCCCTGCAGAAGGAGCTGGGGGAGGGGGTTTGTGCTCTCTTCCGGGACAGTCCACCCGCCCCTGGGTAGCACACACTCACCCGTCCTGATGGGATTCCTCAGCAACTAAACAGGGCCGCCGGTAGCCCAATGATCCAGGGCCAACAGGATGAATGGAGCAAGTGGGGGGGGGGGGTATCCAGGAGCGCGCAGGAAGCCTGGCGCCGGAGCTGAAGGTGCCCGGCTCCCTTACAGGGGACCCTGAGGCCTGCCCGGCTGGCAGGCACTCACTGCTCTGGGTGGGTCGCCTTAGTTTAGGAGCTTAAGACTGTAGTTGAGCACTGGTCCTAGCATACAGCGGGGCAGGGTTGGGGAGGGGTGCTGGGTCGCGCGAAAGAAAGACAGCCCTGCAGAAGGAGCTGGGGGAGGGGGTTTGTGCTCTCTTCCGGGACAGTCCGCCCGCCCCTGGGTAGCACACACTCACCCGTCCTGATGGGATTCCTCAGCAACTAAACAGGGCCGGGCCGCCGGTAGCCCAATGATCCAGGGCCAACAGGATGAATGGAGCAAGTGTGTGTGGGGGGGGGGTATCCAGGAGCACGCAGGAAGCCTGGCGCCGGAGCTGAAGATGCCCGGCTCCCTTACAGGGGACCCTGAGGCCTGCCCGGCTGGCAGGCACTCACCGCTCTGGGTGGGTCGCCTTAGTTTAGGAGCTTAAGACTGTAGTTGAGCACTGGTCCTAGCATACAGTGGGGCAGGGTTGGGGAGGGGTGCTGGGTCCTCATGACCTCTTTTTTACAGTAATTCTTAGTGATTGTATTTTAGAGCGTCTATGTGTACACAAACAAACACACATATTCATAAATATAACCTGCTCATTCTGTATAATAATACCTGTATATATGGTTTCTTGGCTGGCTTTTTGGTCCCAGTGATTTAATGTATTCTTTCTGGGTATTCCCACACCTCCTGTTGATTGTTTCCTTCAGTTTTCTATCATCCTTTGAGTAGGGTTGAAGCCTCATGGACTTTTATCTGTCTAATTTATATTTGTATTGGTGCTACTCTTGTTCATCTCATATTTGGACAGTGATGTTTGTCAGGTTTTATATTTGTTTCTCCTGATATTACTAAGAGACACAGTCATAGAGCAAATTAACTCACCCTCTGCTCTGATGAACTTTTAGGCCCTTCTTGGATAGTGTTCCCTGAGCCTTATCTTAGGTGCAGGCGTGTTCTGTAGATGTATCCACTCTGATTGTGCTCCACTACTCACTCTCTGCTTTGATTGATTGTGGATTTCTGTAAGGGTCTCAGATTTTTCCAAACCAGAGTTTTCTTGATGAGGAGGAGTAAGGCCATTCTTATCTTTGGGTATAAGAACAACGTTTAGAGATTGTTGTTAGGAATTATGCTGTATTAGTAAGTTAGTGGTTGTAGATTTCTTCTTAATCATCATTTTACCAGTATAGAGTTTTTAGCCGGGTTTTTATTACCAGGCATGCTCTCCCTCTTGTTGCAAGTTAAAGTACTATTGATTACAAAGAAGGTATGTGTTCTGCTTCTACATTATTTGATTTATCATGCCATGATAGGCATTGTGGTAGTAGCCTTTTTTACTGTAATGCTATATTTGAGCATATGCTTTAGGATTGGAAGATTATTATTTAGAAACCATAGTGGATTAAACATAACATGTTCTAGCTTTATTTTTTTTATTGTGGAAGAATGTAGCATTTTCCCTCTCTTCATGCATCACGTCACTGAATGCTTTTTTATCAGAGTTCCTTTCAACCAGTATATCATGTCTGGACTTTAACAAAAAGTTACATGACCTACTACACATCTGGAAGAGATGTAAGCATTATAACAAACTCAAAAATTCACTAGACTAGCATAAATGTTAAATACTTTCTAAGTCTCTGGCAGGCCCAACTGGTAAGGATTTTTTTCATCAGTTACTAGATGTTCTAGTTTTAAATGTACATAATCTTTGTTTTTCATTTCATACCTCAATAAGCCAAGAAAAAACCCAAGGCCAAGACAGTAACCAAACCATGGAAAGACCAAGCTGGACATTTTGAGTATGAAGAACCAGCAGCCCCAGGTGATTGCTTTTTGTTTTGTTCTTATCTATATTGATTCACGTGATATTTGCCAAATATTGAATAATGGTGTAATGTTTTTAGAAGGCAAGAGTGTTTTTCACTTTTAAGTAATCAAATATAAGTAACAGTGATAAATTCATAGAAATTTTCACTGTGATAATTTAAATTTGTCTCAGTATAATAAGTTCATCCTTTTGGAGAATTAGATTGCTTCTTGATTACAGAATCTTTTCATGTTTTCATGAAGAAGTATCATTTTTATGAGATTATCATTTAATTACAACCTTTTTCCACATGCTTTCTTCCATTCAAAACCTCTAATTTCAACCACCTTCTCTGTGCCATAATTTTTGGCCTCTTTTCACAATAATTCTTAGTGATTGTATTTAAAAACGTCTATGTGTACACACACACACACATGTTCATAAATGTAACCTCTTCAAATCTGCATAATAATACCTATATATATATATTTTTTTCCATGACTGGCTTGTTGACACCAGGCAGTGATTCAGTATTTTCTTCATTGGGTAGTTCCAACTTTCCTTTTATGAGATTCCTTCAGTTTTCTATTGTCTTTTGTGTAGGGTTTAATCCTTATGAACTATTCACTGTCCAGTTTGTGTATGTATTGGTGCCATTCTTGTTCAACTGATGTATGGACAGGGATGTTTGTGAGGTCTTATGTGTGTTTTCCTGATATTGCTAGGAGATACAGTGTTAGAGCAAATTCCTTCATGCTCTGGCTCTGATGATCTTTCAACCCTCTCTTGCATAGTGTTCCCTGAGCTTTATCTTATGTGCAGGAGTGTTCCGTAGATGTAGCCATTCTGATTGGTTTCCACCACTTTCTGCTTTGATTGCTTGTGAATTTCTGTAATAGCCTCTTGCTGTTTGATTTAAGTTTTCCTGATAAAGTGTAAGGCAACAGTTATCTTCAGGTATAAGAATAATGTTTATAGATTTTTGTTACGGATTATGCTTTTACCAAGTTAATGGTTGTAAATTCTCCAATAATCATCATTTGAAAAGCACACAGTTTTTGGCTGGGTTTCCATTACCAGGCTAACCCTCTTGTTGAGCAAGTTAAGTCCAGTTAAGAGTTCTAAATTAGAAAGTATGTGTGGCACTGATGCCATGATGGACATTGATATACATCACATGAGCATAATGGTAGCCTTCTCTATAACAAGGCAATAGTAGATCATATACAGTAGTATTAGAAGCTTTATTAATTGGAAAAGTAGTGCATTAAACATAATGTATTCTAGCTTTCAGTGTATATAATCTTTGTTTTTGTTTCATACCTCAATAAAGCTACGAAAAAACGCAAGGGCAAAAAAGTCACCAAAACATGGACAGACCAAGCTGGACTTTTTGAATATGAAGAAGCAGGTCCAGGTGATTGCTTTGTTTTGTTTTGTTTTTATCTATATTTATTCACATGATATTTTCTGTATATTGAATAATGGTGTGATGTTTTAGAAGGCAAGACTTCTTAACTTTTAAATAAACAAGTGTAAGTACCATGATGATAAATTCATAGGAATTTTCACTTTGATAAGTCAAATTTTCTCTTGTTATAATAAGTTCATCATTTTGAAGAATTAGATTGCTTCTGATTACAGATTCTTTTCATGTTTTCAAGGAGACTGTTCTCATTGTTTGTGAAATTATCACTAATTTTCATCCTATTGCCTTACCCTTTCTTCCCTCCAAAATCTTCTGTTTCAACCACCAACTCTATGCCAAAATTCATGGTCTCTTTTCACACTGTTAGTGCTTGCATTGATAAAAAAACTCTGTATACGCACACACACACACACACACACACACACACACAGAGAGAGAGAGAGAGAGAGAGAGAGAGAGATTAAAAAAATAGTCTGCTCAGTCTATATACTAATACTAATACCTGTATATATGTTTTCATGACTGGCTTTCTGGTACCAGACTCTGAATTAGTATATTCTTCCCTGGGTATTGCCACCTCTCCTATTCTCAGTTTTCCTTCACTTTGAGTAGGCTTGAAGCCTCATGGACTATTCTCTGTCCAGTTTGTGTATGTATTGGTGTCATTCTTGTTCAGCTGATGTGTGGACAGGGATGTTTGTGAGGTTCTATGTGTTCTTCTCCTCATATTTGTAGGAAATTTACTCTAGGGCAAATTCCCTCACCTTCTGACTCTGATGATCTTTCAGCCCCTAAGTTAGGGAGTGTTCTTTGAGCCTTATGTTATGTGCAGCACAGTTCTGTAGATATATTCATTCTGACTGGGCTCTGCCACTCTCTGGTTTGATTGGCTGTAGAATTCTGTAATAGTCTCTGGCTGTTCCAAACCAAAGTTTTCTTGATGAATAGTAAATACGACAATTATCTTCAGGTATAAGAACAATGTTTATAGATTATTGTTAAGGATTATGCTGTGTTAGTAAATTAGTAGTTGTAGATTTCCTCACCAATAATCATCATTTGATCAGCACAGGATTTTTAGCTAAGTTTCCGTTACCAATCATGCTCTTCCTCTTGTTGAGGGAGTCTTAAGTCCAATTAATGGTTTCTGGTTACAAAGAAGATAATGTGCTCTAATGCTGCATACTTTGAGTTATCATGCCCTGATGAGCATTGTTACAAATTACGTAAGCATGATGGCTGCCTTCTTTAGGAAAAGGATATGTCAGAGCATATGCTTTAATATTGGAAACTTTATTGTTTTAGAAAACATAGTAGATTAAACATAATGTATCATAGCTTTCAATGTACATAATCATCATTTTTCATTTCATATCTAAATAAAGCTGAGAAAAAAATCAAGGGCAAAGCATCACCAAACCATGGAAAGACCAAACCGGACTTCTTGAATATGAAGGAGCAGCCCCAGATGTTTGCTTTGTTTTGATCTACATTGATTCATATCATGTTTGCCAGATATTGAATAATTGTGTGATGTTTTTAGAAGACAAGACTGTTTTTCATTTTAGAGATAATAAGTACCACAGTGATGAATTCATAAAAATTTTCACTGTGATATACCAAATCTTTCTCTTAGTATAATAAATTCATCTTTTCAGAGAATTAGACTCCTTGATTACAGATTCATTTCATGTTTTCAATGAGATTGATCTCATTTTTTATGAAATTATCATTTAATTTCAACATTTCTCCATACCCTTTCCTTCATGCAGAACCTCGTATTTCAACCCTCTCTCTATGCCAAAATCATGGCCTCTTTTCATACTAATTGTTAATAATTGTATTTAAGAATGTCTATATAAAAAAAAAGAATGTCTATATAAATCTGGGCAGTAGTGGTGCACGCCTTTAATCTCAGCACTTGGGAGGAGGCAGAGGTAGGCAGATCTCTGTGAGTTCAAAGCCAGCCTTGTTTATAAGAGCTAGTTCCAGGACAGGCTCCAAAGCTACAGAGAAACCCTGTCTCGAAAAACCAACCAACCAAACAACGAAACAAAAAACAAAAACAGGAATGTTTATATAAATGCACACACACACACACACACACACACACTCTCTCTCTCTCTCTCTCTCTCTCTCCTAAATATAACTTGTGCAGTCTGTATAATAATATATGTTTTATGGCTGGATTTTTGAAACCATATAGTAATTTAGTATATTCTATCCTAGGAATTCCCACATCTTCTTTTGTCCATTTCCTTCAGTTTTCTATTGTGTTTTGAATAGGGTTGAAGCCATATGTCTAGATTGTATAGGTATTGGTGCCATTCTTGTTGAACTTACGTTTGAGCAGTGATGTTTGTCAGGTTTTATGTGTGTTTCTCCTGATATTACTAGGAGACACAGCCATAGAGCATATTCCCTCACTCTCTGACTCTGATGATCTTTCAGTCCCCCCTCTTGGGTTGTGTTCTCCGGGCCTTATCTTATTTATGTACAGGTGTGTTCTGTAGATGGGTCCACTCTGATTGTGCTTCACCACTCTCTGATTTGATTGCTTGTGGATTTGTGTAATAGCCCCTTGCCATTTGAAACCAAAGTTTTCTTGATAAAGAATAAAAACTACAGTTATCTTCAGGTATAAGAACAATATAGATTGTTGTTAGAGATTATGCTGTTTTAGTATATTAGTGGTTGTAGATTCTTCTCCAATAAACATAATTTCACCAGCACCAAAGTTTTAGTTGGATTTCCTTTACAGGCAATCTCTCCCTCTTGTCGAGGAATCTTAAGTCCAATTAAGATTTTCTGGTTACAAAGAAGTCTGTGTTCCAATGCTGCATATTTAAGAGTTATCATGCTATAATGGGCACTGTTACATATCACAGGATCATGATGGTAGCCCAATACAAGGCTGTATTAGAGCATATGTATTAGTATTGGAAGCTTTATTATTTATAAATCATGTATTAAACATAATGTGTTTTAGATTCATTATATATAATCTTTGTTTTTGTTTCATACCTCAATAAAGCTGAGAAAAAACGCAAGGGCAAAAAAGTCACCAAACCATGGAAAGACCAAACTGGACTTTTTGAAAATGAAGAAGCAGGTCCAGGTGATTGCTTTGCTTTGTTTTGCTTTAAATCTATATTGACTTTATGGTCTCTAGCTATTGCAAACCAAGGTTTCCTTGATGAAGACTAAAGACTACAGTTATCTTCAAGTATAAGAACAAGGTTTTAGGTTGTTGTTAGGGAATATGCTGTTTTAGTAAGTTAGTAGTTGTAGATTTCTTCTTAATCATTTGATTAGCACAGTCTTTTTAGCTGGGTTTTCATTACCAGGCATGCTCTCTCTCTCTTGTACAAGTAAAGAGCTCTTGATCACAAAGAAAGTACATGTTCCACAGCTGCATACTTGTTATCATGCCATGATGGACATTGTTACATGTAGCATGAGCATGTTGGTAGACTTCTTCATGACAGAGTTATATTAGAGCATATGTATTAGTATTGGAAGCTTTACTATTTGGAAAACATAGTGGATTAAACATAACATGTTCTAGCTTTAAATATACTTAATCATTGTGTTTCATTTTGTATCTCAATAAAGCTAAGAAAAAACGCAAGGGCAAGACAGTCACCAAAACATCGAAAGACCAAGCTGGACGTTTTGAATACGACGAACCTGCCCCAGGTGATTGTTTTTAATATATATACATACACATTTTGTATATACATTTGTATATGTATATTTTATAAATATAAATCATACACAAAGTAATTATAATATATATGAATAAATATAAATATTTAAATATATTTAACCACATTGTGAACATAAATATGTCATTTTATATCATGACCATACACCTATACACATAAACATAGTCGTTATATAATGTATATACATAAACACAAACCTATATTTACATATAATTACTATATGTATTCAGAAGGTGTTTGCCATATATTGCATGGAGTAATGTTTTTAAAAGGATTTTTTTTACTTTTTGTAAAAAAATAAAATTATCACAATAATAAATTCATAGAAATTTTTACTGTGAATCGTCAGATTGGTTATAAGTTCATCCTTTTTGAGAATTAGATTGTATCCTGATTATAATTTTCTTCATGTTTTCAAAGAGAAAATTCTCTTTTATTTTGAAATTATAGTTTCATTTCAACCTTTCTCCCTACCTGATCCTCCTCCCAAATTTCCTGTATACCCTCCGTTCTCTCTGCCAAATATATGACCTTTTCCCTCACTTACGGTTTAGTGCTTGCATTCAAGAATATCTACATACATGTATAGCCCTGAATATAACTTGTTTAGTCTATTTAATAATACCTGTATTTTTGTTTTCGTGACTATCTTTTTCTATCTGAGAGTGAATTAGTATGTTCTTCCCTGGGGATTCCCACCTCTCCCATATCTTCCATTTTCTGTAGTTCTTTTGTTTAGGATTTAGGCCTCATGGGCTTTTTCTCTGTTCAGTTTTTATATGTATTGTTGTCATTCTTGTTCAACTCATGTTTGATAGTAATTTCTCCTGTTATTGCTAGAAGATGCAGTCTTAAACTCCCTCACCCTGTGGCTCTTAAGATCTTTCTACACTCTCTTGAGCAGCATTCCCTGAGCAGTACCTTATGTGCAGGATTGTTCTGTAGATATCCATTCTGATTGATCTCTTCCACTGTTTGCTTTTATTGGTTGTGGTTTTCTATGATGGTCTCTGTCTGTTGCAAACAAAAGTTCCCTTAATAAAGAGTAAAGAATACAGTTATCTTAAGGCATAATAAAACTGTTTATAGATTACTGTTAGGGATTATGCTGTTTTAGTAATTGAGTTGTTGTAGATTCTTCTCTGATAACCATTATTTGACAAGCCCAGAGTTTTTAGCTGGGTTTCTATTACCAGACATGTACTCTCTCTTGTTTAACGAGTCTTATTTCCAAGTAAAGTGATGTTGGTTATAGAGAAAATATGTGTTCCGCAGCTGCATACTTAGAGTTATCATGCTATGATGTGCATTGTTACACATGACGTGAGCCTGATGGTAGGCTTCTTTAATGACAAAGCGATATTAGAACATATGCTTTAGTATTAGAAGCTTTGCTATTTGGAAAACATAGTGGATTGAACATAATGTGTTGTACCTTTAAATGTGCATAATTTTTGTTTTTATTTTCATATTTCAATAAAGGTGAGAAAAAACGCAAGGGCAAAACAGTCATCAAACCTCAGAAAGACCAAACTGGAATTTTTGAATATGAAGAAGCTATTCCAGGTGATTGCTTTGTTTTTCTGATGATTTTTAATCTATATTATCATGTCTGCAATATATTGAATGATGGTGTAATGTTTTTAGAAGGAAAAACTGCTTTTTACTTTTAGGAAAACAAGTATAAGAAGTAGCATGATAAAAAATTCATAGAAATTTTGAGTATGATAAGTCAAATTTGTCTTCTATTATAGTAAGTTCATCACTTTGAAAGATTAGTTTTTTCCTGATTATAGTTTTTTTATGTTTTAAGTGAGAACATTTTCTTTTTTGAGTTAATAATTAAACTCTGACCTTTCTCCTTTCCCCCCTTTTCCCCAAACCTCCCATATATGCCTTCATCTCTCTGACAAATGTGTGGCCTCCTCTTTTAATAATTGTTAATGCTTGCATTCAAAAATATCTATGTATACATATTGTCCTGAATATAACTTGTTCTGTCTGTATAATAGTAACTGTATTCTGTTTTTATGGCTGACTTTTTCACACCAGATTGTGTGCTTCTTTCTGGTGTTTCCCATTTCTCCTGTTCCCCATTTTCTTCAGTTTTCTATAGTTCTTTTCTATGTGGTTGAGGCTTCATGAGCTATTTCTGTGTATTAATGTCATTCTTATTCATCTCATGTATGAGCAGTAATGTTCATGATTTTCTGTGTATTTCTCCTGATATTACTAGGAGATACAGCTTTAGAGAGAACTCCTCACCCTCTGGCTCTTTACAGTCTTTCTACCTCCTTTTTGGCAATGTGCAGAAATATTCTGTAAATGTATCCATTCTGATTGGACTCCACCACTCTTTGTTTTAATTAGTTTTGGTTTATTGTAATGGTCTCTATCTGTGGCAAACAAGATTTCTTGATGAAGAATGAAGACTACTGTGGGTATGAAGACAAATGTTTATAGATAGTTGTTGGGGACTATGCTGTTCGGTTAAATTAGTGGGTGCATATTATCCTCCAATAACCATCAGTTCTCTAGCACAGAATTTTTAGCTGGGTTTCCAGTACCAGTCATGGTTTCCCTTGTGTTGAGTGGATCTTAAGTCCAAGTAAAGAATATTTGGTTACTGCCAAGGTATGCATGCCACTCCTGTACAACTGTGCCATGTTGTGCATTGTTAAATTTCATGTGAGTATGATGGTAGCATTTCATGACTATTCTGCATTAGAATCTTTTATTGTTTAGCATGCACACTAGAATGTAATGTGTCCCAGATTTAAGTATACATAATAGTTGCTTTTCATTTCATAACTCAACAAAGCTGAGAAAAAACGCAAGGGCAGGCCAGTCACCAAACCTCGGAAAGATGAAGCAAGTCATTTTGAAAATGAAGAAGCAGCCCGAGGTGATTGCTTTGTTTTTTTTTTAATCCATATTGAGTCACAAGATGTTTGCCATGTATTGAATAATGATACAATGTTTTTAAAAGACAAAACTGTTTTTCACTTTTAAGGAAACAAGTAAAAGTCCCACAAAGATAAATTCATAGAAATTTTCACTGTGATAAGATTTGTGACTATGGTGCATTAGATGCTTTATTATTTAACATGCAGACTGGAACATAATGTGTTCCAGCTTTAAATGTACATAATTTTTTTTATTTCATATCTCAATGAAGGTAAGAAAAAACGCAAAGATAAAAAAGTCAGTAAATTTTGGGAAGACCAAGCCAAACTTTTGGAAGATGAAGAAGCAATTCCAGGTGACTGATTTGCCTTATTTTTTTCTATATTTATTTACAAGATGCTTCCTCAATATTAAATAATAGCATATTCTTTCCAGAAGGAAATACAGTTTTTTTAAAGAAATCTAGTACAAGAAATAACACAATAATAAATTTGTATCATTTTCAATGTGCTAAATTGAATTTTTGTTGGTTAGTCTAATAAATTTATCTTCTTTAGATAATTGTTTCCTGATTATAATAATCTAATGTACCTAAAATTTCATTTGACTGACATTCATTGTTAAAAATTTTATGCCTTATATTTTGATCTTATTGTGTACCTTCTGACTTGAATAAGATGAGATTTTAAGTGTTTTCCTGCTGCTTACAAATTTTGAATGTATTTTTTATTGTTTTTTATTGAGCTCTACATTTTCCTCTGCTCCCCTCCCTGCCTCTACCCTCCCCCCATCAACCTTCTCCCCAAGGTCCCCATGCTCCCAATTTACTCAGGCGATCTTGTCTTTTTCTACTTCCCATGTAGATTAGATCTAGTAAGTCTCTCTTAGGGTCCTCATTGTTGTTTAAGTTCTCTGGAATTGATGTTTGTGGGCTGGTTTTCTTTGCTTTATACATATGATAATTATCTTTCTGTGTCTGGGTTACCTCACTCAAAATGATGTTTTCTAGCTCCATCCATTTGCCTGCAAAATTTAAGATGTTATTTTTCTCTGCTGTGTGGTACTCCATTGTATAAATGTACCACATTTTCCTCATCCATTCTTCAGTTGAGAAGCATTTAGGATGTTTCCAGGTTCTAACTATGACAAACAATGCTGCTATGAACATAGTTGAGCACATGTCCTTGTGGCACGATTAAGCATTCATTGGGTATATACCCAACAGTGGGATTGCTGGGTCTTGAGGTAAGTTGTATCCTAATTTTCTGAGAAATTGCCACACTGACATCCAAAGTGGCTGTACCAGCTTGCATTCCCATTAGCAATGCAGAAGTGTTCCCTTTTCCCCACAACCTCTCCAGCATAAGTTGTCATCAGTGTTTTTGATCTTGGCCATTCTTACAGGTGTAAGATGAAATCTCAGAGTTGTTTTCATTTGCATCTCTCTGATGACTAAGGATGTTGAACATTTCCTTATGTGTCTTTCAGCCATTTTAGATTCCTCTGTTGAGAGTTTTCTGTTTAGGTCTGTACTCCATTTTTATATTGGATTATTTGTTCTTTTGACGACCAATTTCTTGAGTTCTTCATATATTTTGGAGATCAGACCTCTGTCTGAAGTGGGGTTAGTGAAGATCCTTTCCCATTCTGTAGGCTGTCGTTTTGTCTGTTGACCGGGTCCTTTGCTTTACAGAAACTTTTCAATTTCAGGAGGTCGCATTTATTAATTGTTTCTCTCAGCGTCTGTACTGCTGAGGTTATATTCAGGAAGTGGTCTCTTGTGCCCATGCATTCAAGTGTACTTCCCACTTTCTCTTCTATAAGGTTCAGTGTGTCTGGCTTTATGTTGAGGTCTTCGATCCATTTTGACTTGAGTTTTGTGGAAATGTTTTTTTTTTTTTTGTTGGTTTTGTTTTTAATTTTCCCCATTTAGAAGGAACGATGATGCGTCAGCTTGTTATAAATTGCCTTTATTATGTTGAGATATGTCCCACATATTCTTGATCTCTTTGGGAATTTTATCAGCAATGTTGAATTTTATCAAAGGCGTTTTCTGTATCTTTTTGAGATGATCATATGGTTTCTGTCCTTTGTTCTATTTATGTGATGACTTTTGTTTATTGATTTATATATGTTTAATCATTCCTGTGTCACTGATATGAAACTGACTTAATGGTGGATAATATTTTGATGTATTCTTGAATTTGGTTTGTAATATTTTATTGAATTTTTATTTATATTTGTAATGGATATCCATCTTTTTTATTTTTGTTGAGTCATTGTGTGATTTTGGTATCAGGGTAATGATGGCCTTATATGAAGCATTTAGGAATGTTTCTTTAGGGTTTTTTTGAGAATAATTGAAAACTAATGTCATTAATTCTTTTTTTAATACCTGGTAGAATTATAGGCTGAACCATCTGTCCATGAACTTTTTCTAGGTGGGAGATTTTTAGTTACTGCTTCTATCTTACTAGGGGTTATGAATCTATTTAAATTACATTTACTTTATCTTGATTTAACTTTGATAGATTATATATTTTAAGAAATATATTTCCTTTAGGTTTTCCTGTTTAGTGGAATACAAATTTTTAAAAAAGTATTCTTTTATGGTTATCTTGATTTTCTTAGTGTCTATTGTAATGTCATCATTTTCATCTCTAGTTTTGCTAATTTGGATCTTGTTTAAAATAATTTCAATGAGTACCCTTTGGAAAGTTTTAAAGATAAGCTTAAACTTTTTTCAGTCATATGATAGTGTTTTTACATTTTCTTTAATTTTTGTTGCTAAGCTCTCTTCTCAGCTCTTTCAGTGAAGAGTGCAGAGAACACACCACCTTCCTCCTATGAACAAACAAAAACCCCTACCTCTGAGAAAAAAAAGTCTTCCACCTCCAAAGGGGCTCAATCTCCAAAAATGAAGTCTCCACAGAAAACAACTCTTGTACTACCAGTACCAAAGACCAGCAAGAAATCAGGAAAAACTAAACCAACTGGAGATACTTCAGCTACAACGAAGGGTACTTGTAAAACTGTCTTACCAAAGGAAAAAGGTAGAAAGTCATGGGTAAAGGTTAGTCATGTCTCTTGCTAATTTTTATTGTCTCTGTGTTGGAGTATTATTTTTAACACTCAGTTTAGCAATTTGCTAAGACTATGCTGAATTTTCTAGGACTATTTTAAATGTATAAAGCTCTTTTTGTCTTAGTTAGGTTTTCTATTGTGATTAAATGAAAACAATTTATGAGGAACTTACACTTCTATATCACAGTTCATTATCAAAGGCAGTCAAGGCAGGAACTCAAATAGGGCAGGGAGTGGAGCTGGAGTGGGGGTGGAGCAAAAGTACTATCTAAAGTAAAGTGGTCATTGAACATAATTGACTGGTAATTACTGGTGATGAAAGAACAAAGAGTAAATGAATTGGAGAATAGAATAGAAACTATCCAATGTGAAAAACTGATACAGAATTTAAAAAAAACTGAGAAAGACAGCAAGTTGAGATTTCCTTAATGTGTAATTAGTCAGGAGGAAGAGAGGGAGGGATAGATGTGGGCAGGAAAATACTGAAGAAGTTTTTCTTATAATCATTTCTAGTCCTGTACAGTTTATATAACAGATACATATAACTACATAAACAATTTACATTATGAAACCCTGAATATAATTTTAGTTTCAACATTTTGTGCAAAATGATACATTATGAATTTTTGTTTGAAAATTATGCAAAGTTATGATGAACCTCTAGTTATAATATAAGAAAATGTAAAAAATTATGTGTACCTAAAAATCCAAGGAAAAAATTATGATGGAATTTTAAGCATTCAAGTAACCCCTCAAAATATAAGTGGAACCACCTCAACAAAAAAAGAATAAAGGAAACAAACAGATAATTCATAATAAAATGGTTTACTCAGACCCAAATATAATAATAACTACATTAAATATTTGTGAATTAAATTCTTGGTTAAATGACAGAGATTTAATTCTGGAATTTTAAAAAAGATTCAAATAAGTATCCATAAGACATGCACTCTAAATATAGAGGTAAAAATATCTCAGCAGTATTATCTTATACATCTAGTATTTCCATATGATACCAGCAGAACATTTGTGTCTATGAGTACTTTCCATATGGAACAAAATAATGTCATCTTGTTTTTTAAAAATATTTACACAATTATTTCTTTTTAAAACATCTAATATTTATAAAAATCAGTATGAAATATTTGTAAAAATATTGATTTTCCTAAAACAATATGTTCTTAAAATGGGAAATAAAATTAAGAAAAGTCAATCTTGAAATTTAAAGTTAAAATACATCTGAAAACACATTTTCAGCTGCTCAGAAAGTTATATATATTAGTGATAATATCTTTTGATTCTTATATTTTCTAGTATCAACACTAATATAATTTTGAAAAGGTATTTTGGTAAACATTTAATGATAGAGATAAAGAACACTAGTATAATTCATAGTTTATATTTTTTCAAAATTGTCATTTCAGTTCACTATCATCTAACTTCATTATTTCATAATAAAAATAAAGATGTTCACAGTTTTAATAGCTGATGAAGTTTTTGAGCTACATAAAATATTCTTAAAAGATTCCTTTATGAATTGTCATTTTCTTCCTTCATTTAATATTTTAACACAGGGGCTAAAGATAGTGCTTAGTGGTTAAGAGCACTTGGCTACTCTTCTACAGGACCTGGTTTTGATTCCCAACATTCACATGACAGCTCACATCCCTTGGTAGCACCAGTTCCAAATATCAAACACCCTCTTCTGTCTTCTGTGGGCACCAGGCATGCAAATGGTCCACAGACATATATGCAGGCAGAACATTCATGCACATAAAATTTAATTAAATTTAATTTTAGAAACTTTTAAAAACATATGTTAGTACATTTTCTAAATAAATGAATTTATTCAGGTTGGTATTAAACATACTATCTTGCATCAAAGGGTTCAGAATTTTGAAAAATGAAATTTGTAATTCATTACTTGACATGATTTACTAGATTGCTATGAATCCAGATAACAGTCATTAATTTAAAGCATATTGCAGAAACCTTAAATGATATTTTTGTTTTACTCTTTTGTCTTTTGTCATAATTGTTCTAGGCACAGGAGTACCTTTTGTGACACTACAGAGCAGTTTGAAAGTAGCTCCTAGAAAAATCCCAACATTTCACATCATTAGAATACTAGTAATATTCACCTGTGTTTAAGAGATATTTGTCTCTTACATGCAACAAGCAGTCTTCACCAAATTATTTACAATTTTATGAAGTTTATTGCTGGCCAGAGCCAATAGGAATGAACAGCTGCTTTCTAAGGTCCTCTACCTTTCTGTGGTTATTTTTGCTTATGGAAAAAGAGATTTATAGAATTAACAGTGATTTAAAAAGCATGTCTTGCCTGATGGTGATGCCGCACGCCTTTAATCCCAGCCCTCAGAAGACAGAGGCAGGCAGATCTCTGTGAGTTTGAGGCCAGCCTGGGCTACAAGAGCTAGTTCCAGGACAGGCTCCAAAGCTACAGAGAACCCTTTCTTGAAAAACAGAAAAACCAAAAAAATCATGTCTTGCAAGGAACCTCAGAAATTTTTTGAGGTTAACAGGTTTTGCACAACTAATTTGACTAAGGTATCATCAGAAGATAGGATACAGAATCCTACCTAGAATTTGGTCTCTTTCTCTGGCACCTGAATAGCTTGTGGGCCTGAGTTAAGTTTGCAAATCACTGCAGTTCTTAGTACCCAGAAAGTTTTCAACCATTTTTTTAACTGATGCTTTTGTGATCCAGTGATGTCTCCCATTTTTGTTTTCTAATCTGGAAGCTTTTAAAAGAGAACATTACCTGCATACTTTGTTTCTTTTTTTTTAAACAGGAAAAATGTATTCCAGTTATTTCTTCTACATCTACAGCATCTCTCAGTTCACTAATAAGAAGATCTTCATCTAATAAGTCTCCTGTGGGGCCATCTAAAATAGTGATGTCTACAGGTAAGTTAGTATTTTCAAAACAGTAATAAACATTACATATTTTATTCAGCATTGATTTGACTGTTGTTAAAGTACTGGAAATGAGTAAGATATTAATGTATTTTGTTAAACTAATAGTTCAGCTTGATGTTAAGCAAAAACAGCCTGTGTAAATCTGTCACCTGAAAGTAAATATCCAACCTTTTGAATTTGTGTCATTAGCAAATCCTTATTATTTCAAAGTATTTGTCATTTCATATTATATGTGTTTTCCAAAATAACTCATACCTTTTGAAAATAATTTTTCTGTCAAAGGACATGGTGATATTAAATTCTTCTCTGGTATGTTGAAAAGAGCACAGAACAAAGCAAATCCTTTTTTATCATCCCATATACATTTTCTTAATCTTTTTGTATTTTAATTTTCCTTTCATTTTATTTTGTATGTATGAGTGTCTTGCCTACATTTGTATTTGTGCAACCATGTATCTGCCTCTCGCCCAGAAGAGAATGTCAGATCCACTGGGACTAGAGAGATACAGGATGTAATATCATTTCTAGTTGGTCTTAATAATATAAACCCAGAGTCAGAGTGAGACACCACTGCTTGGCTCTATTTTTCTTTTTTTTTTTAATTTTTTTATTTTTATTTTTTATTTTTTTATTATTTTTTTTGATGTTTGATGTTCCTCTTTTTTTTTAATTTATTTATTTATTAAGGATTTTTGCCTCCCCGCTACCGCCTCCCATTTCCCTCCCCCTCCCTGATTGCTCTATTTTTCTTTTAGACTGATTCAATCTTGTGTAACCGAGGATAGTCTTGAACTCACAGAGATCCATCTGCCTCTGTATCCCAACTGCTGGAATTAAAGGTGTGTGCCACCACCCTGCCTCTATGGCTAACTAGTGGCTTTCTTGGCACTCTCATTCTCAGGCAAGCTTTATTTGTTATAGTACAAACAAAATATTGCCACAACAGACAGTTGTAACTGTCATGTGTGTGCTGGCAAGCAAACCCAGGCCCTCTGGAAACAACAGCCAGTGCTCTTGAGCTATCTCTCTGGCATCCCTTTAGTGTTTTAAAAGTATGTCCTATTCTTTTATATCCTGAATTACCACCTTTATGCTCTTATTTTCCTTGAACTCTTCCTTATCATTTTTCTCACTTAAAGGGAATTATTTTTTAAATACCACTTGTTTTTTAAAGGTTCATTTAACACACTTAATTTCTTATTTCTTATAAGAAATAGTGTATTACATTTAATACACTAGCTAAATGAATACAAGTTGATAATATCTAATCCAAGAATGAACCTATTGAGTACTGACATGACACCACAAGTAAAAATCACCTGATTTCATATGATACATTGCAATCAAAACACAAGTGCCACAAAAGTATGATATCAAACTACCTCAGGCTTTGTGTATGAAGTTTTTATGAAGTATACGTGAAGTTTATGCTCAGACATATGTTCCATCCCCCAAGTTATCTCATTATGTTTGAAATATTCTGGTACCAATGATTTCTTATAAGGGATCTCAACATGTATAGCAGAAATATGATAAAACATTGAAATCCTTCTTTTGCTTTACTTTATGAATGTATCTGTGCTATTATCACCTTGGGTTAGGTTTGAATCACTGTTTCATTTTTGTGAGAGAGGCTATCCTTCCTCTGACAGTTGGGACAAGTCAAATTATCATATTTCAACCCAGTAAAATTGACATGTATGGTTTTTAGTATACTAAATAAGTGTGTATGTAATTTTTTAGTACAAAATAAGTTTTAAATGGTTTGAGTACTGATAAACCTGTATGATTTTCTAGTATACATTGATTTGCATTTGTCAATTTAAATTATCTACACTTGACACCATGATTATAGATGAGAAACTTCTGCACTATATGATTTTATAGTACAAAGAAAATGGTTTAAAATTTCCCTCAGTAGCCAGGCGGTAGTGGCGCACGCCTGTAATCCCAGCACTCGGGAAGCAGAGGCAGGCGGATCTCTGTGAGTTCGAGGCCAACCTGGTCTACAAGAGCTAGTTCCAGGACAGGAACCAAAAGCTACGGAGAAACCCTGTCTCAAAAATTCAAAAAAAAATTTCCCTCAGTGAGCCTAGTCATATATAGAAGGAAATTTTTATTTTCATATTCAAACTTTGTCATTACAACTTACTATTATATATACTATGAAGTCATTTTATTGCTTTAGAAAATGCAGTTGAAGTACACTATCAGTGATTTACAATGAGTAAGGATGAGCAATTTTCAAAGGAAATTTATATATTGTATGTATAATGAATTTGGGTAGGTAGAGAAGCGGGAAAGCTCTAGGAGGAGTTGGAGGGAGAAAGATCAAAATTTAATAACATGAAACTACTCTTTAATTTTGTATCATTTCTTGCAATGCTAAATTAAGAATGATTATATGGTGCCCTTAAGTCTTCTCAAACATATATTTTATATAATCAGTTTTGAGTAAAGTCATAAATGCTATATAAGCTATTTTTGGACTATTTGCATGTTCAATATCTTTATGTAATTATGAAAATATATCTACCTGCATGTTTTCAGAAATGGCCAATGATATGAGCTATTATGTTTCCATTAAGTGAAATCACTAGTAGGATATGACAATTATGTAATATTTTCAGAAAATTTGTTTTAATTCATCTCATTTTTATATACATTTTTTCTCCTCAAGTCTGTGTCTATATAAATAAACATGGAGATTGTGGCCCCTACCTGAATCCACAGAAAGTTCAGCAGCTGCCTGACCATTTTGGTCCAGGTCCTGTGAATGTGATTCTCCGGCGGATTGTGCAGGCCTGTGTGGATTGTGCCATTGATTCCAAGACTGTGTTTTTATTTATTAAGCCAGATAATCGAGGAGGAGAAGTAATAACTGGTATATTAATCTAATTCTTTATATGTGTTCTAAATTTGATTTGAGGTTTAGAGAAGCAGACTATTATTGCATAGCGATTATTTATAATATTTATATTCTACTATAGCACTTTATTATACTGATGTAATAGAATAAGTATGGTGGTTATATACTTATAAAATTTTAAATCTCATTTGGAAAGTTTACTTTTATCAAAGCAGACATGTAAGCGCCAGGTATTGTGGCACATACTTATTCTCCTTGTACTCAGAAGTCTGAAACAGAGGACTACTGTGACTTCAAGGGCACTCTGGGCTATAAGTGAAGTACCAGGTCAGCCAATGCTATATATTGATACCCTGTTTCACACAAACAAACAGAAAACAAAATAGGTAGTAGTCAGCGTAGTACTATAAGTTTAAGTAAAAGATACTGATTTTTTTTCTTGTACATGCTTTGCTAAGCTAAATGTTTAAGCATAGTACTTTGGCTATTAAAATGTTTTATGTTTTGAAAAATTTCTAATAAGCTTTAAAGAATAATGTGACTCAAAAGAAAATCTTCTTAAGATAAAATGAAAAGGCTAAGGATTATAGCTCAGGGATAGTATGCTTGCCTTCCAGGCACAAGGCCTTGAATTTAGTGCTCAGCACCATAAAAAAAAATTTAAAGAAAAAATAGGAGAGAAGTAATTTGTAGTTATTGTCTATCATGATTCTATAAACAGATATCATAACATTTGTACTCATAGGATGTAGAAGGGTTACTATAAACCAAGCCAATTCAGTTGCACTATTTATATATACTTAATAGGATTTTTATCAATTCCTTTTTAAATTTTAAAACCCAGAAAGTCAGCTTTAAAGTACATTTCCTGAATTGATTTCTTTTGTTATTTTATTTCTCATCTGCTATGAGATGACTGATGACTGACCTTACCTCCCCGCCCCATAGCCTTCTTTGATGAGAAAGTTCATAGTGTTCAGCTCCCTCCAGTGAATAGTGCATCATTTGCGCTTCGCTTTCTTGAAAATTTCTGCCGCAGCATGCAGTGCGATAAGTTTTTGAGTAGCCAGCCTTTTAAACCTAAGGCTCATATTCCTACCACTACTACAGACCTTGATCAAAACAAACCAGGTAAGAAAAATAAAAGTTTTGTATACTATATATCTAAGAAAGTGGGGAGGGGATGTTGGGAGCAGTGCACATATGGAGGCCTGAGAATAAGTTTTTAGAGTCAGTTCTCTCCTTCCATCTTTGCATGGATTCCAGGAATTGAACTCAGATCACCAGGATTGCGTAGAAAGTGTCTTTATCTGCTGACCCCTACTATGCTTTTATTTTGCATTTTATACTTGAGAATCTGAGTATTTCAGAGTTTCCTTTCTGTCATCATCAAACATTTTGCCACATTGAACTAATGAAAAATGTGTAGTATATAATTATACTTTCTTCACTTAAAGTGAGAAACTCATTTCTTAACTAAGGATTATAGCTCAGGGATAGTATGCTTGCCTTCCAGGCACAAGGCCTTGAATTTAGTGCTCAGCACTAAATTCCTAGTAAACTTGAGAATCAAAGCCAGTGTGCTATTTTTTGCTTTTTTATGAATAGTTGATATTTGACATATCCTTTTAGGTTGAGGTATGGCTTTAACATTGTTGACCTTAATCTAAAGAAAGTAGCAAAGACTATTGAGTCCATAGATAATAAAGAATGATTTTCTCAAAATTAGCTACAGTTACCTGTCTTCCAAACTGAAGACTGAATAAAAAGATGAGTGCAGTGTTGTTCTATAGAACCACAGGTGATATTCTTGTTTCTAATCTCTACAGTGAAAAGATTGTTTGAGCTTTCCATTTTTTGGATGTTTGTTGCTCTTTCATATAACTATTGACAAGTAACCATATTCTGGTTATAGTAGAAGTTTATGTATGTCACAGGAGTAGCTGTAAGTCCCAGTATTAAAGCTGCATTGTCTTCTTGTCAAATGCTGTCAATTCTGGAACTAGAATACCATGATAGTCTTAATGTGTTTAAGTCTGGTGTATTCCAATCAGGTAGAAAACCGGGGTATCATCTCCAGTTACTCATTTTCAGTTCTTTCTGATTATTCTCAATTTTTCCTCATAAACTTTATTGCCTCTGTTTCAGTGAAGTGTCTCCTCTCTATTCCTTTCTCTCCCATTTTCTTGCCACAACCCTCATCCCATTTAGAACCCTATTGCCCCACCCCTTTTCTGGCTTAGTAAAGTGATCTCCTAATTGGAGTCCCCTTTATGGTTTCTCCATGCTGGTATAACTGCCTAGTGAATCCCTTGAAAAAAGTTAGGATACAGAAAGTCCTTACATGAAAGTACAATAGTCATTGTCATAAGGTGTTGGAATTTATCAAATCTGGGTTCCAGTGCTGACTGTGTAACCTGTACACTATAAGGACATGAAGTTTGGCAGATCTAAATTTTAATCCAAGGTTTGCTGTTAATTAGAATTACACTTTATGGACAAAGTACTGAACCTCCCTGATTCTCAGTTTGCCTTTCTACAAAGTGGTTACTTTCTGAATTATGAGGAAATATGTACAGCCATGTCTGTTGACATAGACCTGTAATCTCAACTACTGGAGATTTTGAAGCAGTGTAAGGCCTATGTGAGATAAATTTCAAGCCTATCTTAGACAGTTTAGTAAGACCCTGTATCACAATAGAAAGTAAGTAGGGGACATAGCTCAGTGGTAGAGTGTTTGCCTGGTATGTGACCACAGGATAAATAAAATTTAGACATATCTTTCTCTAAATGCTTCTGAATTGTTCAAAATACACACAGAGATTCACCTGCCTCTGCCTCCCGAGTTCTGGAATTTAAAGCATGCACCCCCCACCGTCCTGCTGAACACAAGAATTTATTTATGTATGTGTGTGCATTAAAGTGCTCACAAAATGCAGAAGGGTGAATCAGATCTCTCGGAGTTTACAGGCTTTATAAGCTGCCTGATGTGGGTGCTGGGATCTGGTCTCCAGTGCTTTGATAGGCTCTTAACTTCTGAGCCATCTCCCCAATCCAACTCTTTAATATATTATTTCAGTAGAAATACATATAGGATACAGTGAACCTGTTATTATAGTCAAATAATTGACACTGTTGTTGAAGTCATAGTCTGCAAATTACTTTGATGCAGAAGTACTTCATACAGATAATACAAAAATACCTGACTATAGTAATTATAACATGTACCTTTTTTTAAAGCATTAAATGAGGAACTAAAGGAAAGTAGAAGACTCAAACGATGTTCTCAGCGACCTCTAACTTTTGCTCCAGTCTCATCAAAGGTTCCCAGAAAGAGTGGGCGAGCCTCTAAAGGTAAATGGCATTCACACACACACCAGAATTGAGAAAGTCAGTCCCTCAGTCACCACCTATGTATGCTCTTGGTGTGATGGTTTTGAGGGTAGGAAGTTAAATTCACCCATGCTTGACAATTACATTATTACTTTGGTCACTGAGCACTGTATTCCTTTCAGAAATAATACTTCTGTCATTTTTCCCTGGGTTAAAAAAGACTTAGAATAGCACTATCCATTCTGCGTTGCATTACTTATAACCAGGAAAATCAGTGAGAGAAAAGCTAATATGCTTTCTCCAGTGAAAGCAAATATGAGAAAATAACAGTATGGTCATAAGGAATATTTCTGAAGAATTGTGCTCCTAAGAATAAATGTTTTTTAGAAGTGTACAGCTTTGGTTGCAAGAATGGAAAGATCTACTAAATTATCATATAAAACATAGATGATGGCCTAGAATCAATGTGGATTTTAGGAGTGTCCATTAATTTGTATGATGAAAAAGAGTTGTCCATGTATTTTGTGTTAGAAGCTTGCCATTCAATAGAACACTAAGTGATCTATTATTGGAAATAAGCTATTTTTCTTGATTAAGAATTACATACATGTATGGAATGTATTTTAATCAAGCCGCACCTCATTCTCTCCCCTCCAACTACTCCTCTACACCTACACCACAATTTCCTCCCAATTTCATGGATTCACTCCCTCTGCTGTTGTTGTTATTTCAACCCACAGAGTCCACATAGTTCTGCTATTATGTGCATACATACAGGACTATCTACTGGAGCAGAGATTCTCAGGGGCTGCATCCCTGAAGAAAACTGACTCTCCCTCTTTTGGTAGCAATCAGTTGTTAGTAGTTCCTTGGCTAGGGGTGAGATGTCCTAAGCCCCTTTCATATCCATGCTGAAATTTTTGTCTGATTTGATCTCGTGCATGAAGTCACAGATGTTAGTTTATATATGCAGTTGCCAAATTGTATCTAGAAAATACTTTTGTTGTAGTTATTCACTGCCTCTGGCTCTCATAATCTTTCTGCCCCCTCTTCTGAGATGATTACTAGCCTTGCAGTCACAGTATGATATAGCTCTCTGCTAATCTCCATCTACTGCAAAAAGGATCTTCTCTGAGGAGAGTTGAGAGATACACTTATTTGTGTATAAATCTCTAGGAGTTAGTTTAGTACTGTGTACTTTTAGCAGAAAAAGTTCTCTAGAACTTGTAACCTATACTCAGGTCCTTGGCCTCATTAACATGCCAAGCATGAGTTCAATCTTCTGAAGAAGGCCTTAAATACAATAATACAATACGATCATTAAGTGATTGGTTACTTCCATAGCATTCATACCACTATAGTAACAGTAAATATGTCTTGACAGACCATAATTATAATAGTTTGTAGGGTTCATACCTTGGTAGGACTGTTGATTACTTTTCTCCCTTAATAGAGTGTCCAGCACCACCCAGCACAATGAAAGCTAGCCAGTAGCTTACAGCTCAGAACAGCTTGATTTCTCTATGTTCTATGTGGTATCTTTAGCAAATAGGGTCTTATGTGACCTCATAACCTGACCTTAGGTTCTGAGCGGGTAACCAAGAACAATGGTAATAACCCTGTTTATATTTACTGGTCTATGAAGCCCCACTGACCATCAATTTCAAAAGAAGTAACATGTTCCTGGCACTGAGTTTTTAATAGATTATCATGTCTGTGAGAGGCCCCATTTGAATTTTTTGCATATATATATAAAAATATATATATATGTGTGTGTGTGCATATATATACATATATATATATAACACGTTTTGTGTGTGTGTGTGTGTGTTAGGAAGCTTGTACAAGTAGGTTTTCATTTGGCTTTTTCAAAAGTGTTTTGTGTTAGTTATCTCTCTGAAAACTCCCTCCTCTACTCTGCCCTCTAACCTGTAACCCACTTAACCCTTCTTGCTCCATTATCCCCTGTTCTCTTACTGTTTTCCTGACTTCTATGTGTACTCCAAGTTAAATACACATATCTGGAGATTCAAAGCTAGAGTTCACGTACAAGCAAAAATGTGAAATATTTGTCTCTCCAAGTCTAGGTTACCTCACTAATGGTTATTTCTAGTTCCATCCTTTACTTGTGAATTTCTTGTTCATTTTTCATAGCATCTTAATAATATTCCATTATGTAAGTGTATCACATTATCATTAGCCATTCATCAGTTGATATGCACCTAGGCCATTTCCATTTCCTTACTCTTGTGAATACAGCAGCAATGAACATGGATGAACTAGTATCTCTGTAATAGGATATAGAGTCCTTTGAGTATATGCTCAGGAGATTTATAGCTGGATTATATGATAAATTTATTTTTAAGGAACCTCCACACTGATTTCCGTACTGGTTGTACCAGTTTAAACTCCCATCAATAGTGTATAATTATTCTCCTTTCCCCACATCCACACCAGAATTTTCTGTCCAACTTATTTTTAACTCTTAGTCATTCAAACTGGGGTACAATAAAACCTTAAAGTAATGTATTAGTTTGCATTTCCCTATTACTAAAGATATGGAACAATTTTTGAATGTTTCCAATCCATTTGTATTTTGTCACTTGAGATCTTTACTTGGTTACATGCCAAAATTTTAAATTGAGTTTGTTTTGTTGGTGCTTAGTGTTTTTTTTAGTTCTTTTTATAGTCTAGACACTAGCCCTCTATGAGATGTAGAGCTTGTAAAGAATTTTCTTCTCATTCTATAGACTGGCTCTTCACTCTAATGATAGTATCCTTTGCTGTACAGAAGCTTTTAATTTAAGCAGGTCCCATTTGTCAATCACAGATCTTAATGCCTGCACTACTGGCATTCTGTTAAGAAAGTCCTTGCCTGTACCTAAAAGTTGAAGTTTATCCCTGACATGGGAGGTCCTTCTGTCTGTGTATTGCTTTCATTGGTTAATTAATAAAGAAACTGCCTTGGCCTGTTGATAGGACAGAACTTAGGTAGGCAGGGAAAACTAAATGGCATGCTGGAAGAAAGGAGGCAGAGTCTGAGAGATGCCATGGATCCGCCAGAAAGAGATGCTGGGAATTTTACCCAGTAAGCCACTGCCACATGGCAATACACAGCTTAATAGTAACAGGTTAAATTAATATAAGAGTTAGCCAATAAGAAGCTAGAGCTAATGGGCCAAGCAGTGATTTAATGAATACAGTTTCTGTGTGGTTACTTTGGGGCTAAGCTAGCCGGACAGCTGGGACAAACAAGCAGGCCCTCCTCCTACATATCCCTACTATTCCCTCTAACAGATTTAGTGTATTAGGTCTTAAGTTGAGATCTTTTATTCATTTAGAATAGAGTTTTGGGTTTTTTTTCTACATATATCTATTCAGCTCAACATACACTATAAATTGAAGATGTCTTTTCTCCAATATATATTTTTGGCCTCTTTGTTAATAGCCAGGTGGCTGTAAGAGGGTCAAATTGTATCTGGGTCCTCAGTTCTATATTACTAATTGATGTATTTTGATGACAGTACCATGTTGTTTTTATTGCTATACTTCTATAATGTTTCTTGAAATCAGGAATGCTGGTACCTCCAGCAAGTCTGTTTATTATTCAGGATTTTTTGAATATCCTGGGTCCTTCTGTGTTTCCTTGTAAACTTTAAGATCTTTATTCAGTTTCTGTGAAGAAATTGCATTGGTATTTTGATGAGGATTGCCGATTGCATTGAATCTGTAGAATGGTTTTCCATCTTCTATTATCTTCTTTGATTTCTTTCGTCAGTGTCTTATAGTTTTCATTAGACAAATCTTTCACTTCCTTTGATAGATTTATTGACAGATACTTTAATTTTTTTAAGATAAAGTCTTATTGTTTAACTCTGGCTGGCTTGGAACTCACTATATAAACCATTCTGGTCTCAAACTCAGAAAGCTATCCCCTTCCCTGTCTCTTCAGTGGTAGGATAAAAGGCACAGTAGGAAAATAAGATACTTTTTTATCTTTGTGGTCATTTGAATGAGAATGACCTCCATAGGCTCAGATATTTGGATGTTTCATCACCAGTTGGTGGAACTATTTGGGGGGGGGGGGGATTAGGAGTTATAGCATTGTTGAAAGAGATCTGTTACCAGGGTAGGCTTTAAGATTTCAAAAGAGAGATTCATACAGTGTGACTGTCTCTGCCTTGTTGTGTTTCAATATGTATGCTCTCATCTATTGCTCAAGTTCCATGCCTGCTTGCTTGTTGCCATGCTCCCCATCGTAATGATTATGAACTCTTAACTCTATAACTGTGATCCCCCAAATTAAATCCTCTCTTTTGTAAGTGTCTTTGGTCATGGTGTTTTTTCAGGGCAATAGAAAACTAACTAAGATAGAATGTGGTGCCACAGAGTGGGCTAATGCTGTAACAGGCCTGGTCATGCCGTTTTTCAGAGGGATGCAAAAGACTTTGGGATTTTGAACTAAGAGCATGCTTGAATGCTATAAGTGGAATTTAATGGGCCATCATAGTAGGAGCTTAGAAGATATTAATGCTGAGAGTTATGTGAACCAGCCCAAGAGATTTCAGATGGGAACAATATTAGCAACTTGGCTAGAGGCTGTTCTGGTGATATTTTGGATAAGCTTAAGAGATTTCAGATGAGAACAATATTAGCAACTTGGCTAGCTGTTTGGTGATATTTTGGATAAGAATGTGGCTGCCTTTTGTCCTTGTCTAAGCGTCTTCATGATTGAAGAGTTTTGGATTAGTTTCATTTGCGGAAGAGATTTCAAGACTGCCAAGTATTGACTCTGTCATGTGGTTACTAGTGATCACTCTTATGCTGATCTGCAATAACAAAGAACAAGCAGGGCTACAAGAAATACAAAATACACAGTTTGAGGAGAAAAAGACCAACAGGAAATTTTATGTTAGAGCCTTCGTTTGTGCTGAAAGAGATAAGGAGAAATGGAATAAATGGAATGGTGACCTCCCACCCAACTAATTCTATAACTTGTGAAAAGGCCTAAGGTATTATCTGTTCCTAAAGAGCAACAACACATCAAAGCTTATGTAAATATTTCAAGGAAGGGGCCAGGTTTCATCCTGATCCTGCAACAGAACTTGGCAGCCATGATCTGGCTTTAGAATCAAGAAGGATACAAAAATAAAGGGGTTGTGGAGTCTTCCTACACAATTAAAGAAAGGAGTGTTGCAGGGAAGTCTCTGCATGCAGGCCCAGAGAGGCCATTGCATGAAGCTGTGAAAGTGAAGGCTGGATTTGTTTTGGAGACCCCAGGATGTTGGAGATGACAGAGCTGTAGGATACCTGCCAAGGAAAGCTGCATACAGTGAGTGGAACCCGTTCAAGAGACAGAAATGTGTTGCAGTCAGCAAAGCTGGAAGGGCAGAGCCATCTAAGCCTTTTGACAATCCGACATAGATCTACAGGATTTGGAGGATGCCCTGCTAGGTCTTGCTTTGGTCTAGTATTTCATCACTATGCCCCTATTCCTCCCTTTTGGAATTGTAATGTGTATTCTGTGCCATTGCATGTTAGGTATATGTAATTTACTTTTATTTTTACAGGGGCTTACAGTTAAGAAACTGCCTCAAACCTCAAAAGAGACTTTGGACTTTTACATTGGTTCATTGTTGAAAGACTGTTGAGACTTTTGAAGTTGAATCAAAAATATTCTGCCTTATGATATTGCTGCAAGCCTATGGGGACCATGGAATGGAATGTGGCAGAATGAGAATGGAACCCAAAGGCTCATAGAGTTGAATATTTTGTCCCCAGTTGCTGGAGCTCTTTGAGAAAGATTAGGAGGTGTGACCTTTTTAGAGAAGATAGGTTGCTGAAGGAGGGAGTTGAGGTTATAAAAGCCTACACCAGTCCCAGTTGGTTGGCATTCTCTCTCTCTCTCTCTCTCTCTCTCTCTCTCTCTCTCTCTCTCTCTCTCTCTCTCTCTCTCTCTCTCTCTCTCTCTATCTATCTCTATCTCTCTCCCTCTCTCTCTCTCTGCCTCTCGCTAACATATCAGATGTAAGCTCTCAGCCCTAAATACTGCTACAGCACCATGCCTGCCTGCATATTCCCATGTCCCCCACCTTGATGGTCACCAACTCTCTCTTGAACCATGAGCTCCCAGATTAAATGTTTTTTTTTTTTGCCTTTGTCATGGTGTCTTGTCATGGCAATGGAAAAGTAAGACATCCTTCTAATAGAATTTGAGCTGTTGAAGATAATCTCTTTTCCCCCTATAGTAATATCTTCTGAGGGACATGACATGTCTAAAATGAAAAGTTTTCTTGAAACTTTTGAGAATTCATCAATAGGTGATTCCTTGTATCCTGCATATACTTCAGTCTCCAAGAGAGTTTCTGAGATTGTGTCAAATACATCAAGTACATCTATAGTTATGAAAAAGTCATCTACCTTATAAGCACATTAAATACTAATGGAAAAAGAAAAATGAAGGTATATTCAAGAATAATGTTTGCCAGTCAGTGTGTTTATCTTTTTCGTTGAGGATTCCGTACCTAACCATACCACCTGATCACCTCTTGAAATGCCAAAATTAGAGAGGTCATGTTCTCTCTTCCACATTGCCAGGGGCAATGCTGTTATGGCTATTCCTGTCCTCATAGCATCACAGAACTGTCTCTGGGACTTTGGATCACCAGCCCTATTAGATAGAGACTTCTGATTAGTAGTTCTCAAGCAGGTGTAAACAATTCCTGAAGTGCTATGAGAACTCTTAAACCTCTCATGGCTCTTTCAGCCAAGAAGGACACATTCCTTCTCCTTGTTTCTGATGTGATGTCATATCTGTTGAGACCTTTCCCTGGTACCAGCCTGTGTGTGGCTCTTGGATCAGGTCTCTGGCATCCTGTTTCTGTAACTACATCATTTCCCTAATCACCAAATCCGCTGTCATTCTCTTAGATCTGCCAAGAAAAGCTGGCATCTTCTTTAAAAAGAAAAATATCACACAGCATTTCCTGCTGCTACTACTTAACCTTTTAAGGGTTAAGAGTGAAGGAGATAATAAGTGTTCTGTCCATTTTCTTTAGGCTGTGTTGAAGAGTAAAGAACATAGAAAGCAAGTGACCTCATTGTTTTGTTTTTTTTTTTTGACAAGGATGTTATATATGAGCAACCTCACTATACACATCTATGACACATTTAATGTTGTCCCTTCTATCCTACCCCACCTCCTGTAGTGATTGTTTGTTTTTAAAGTGATATTGTTTTCCAAAGGTCTAAAAATGGATATTTAGTCCATAAGAACTTATATGAAATGTTAATCCTAAGTTCACTAAATATCAACTTGTGAAAAAGGCTTTCTTAGTAAAAGGTTGTAAAATGTTCTGATTTTAAAATTTCTAATGCTAGTTATCTGACTTCCAGATGTTTGAGTAATGCTACTGACAATCCTAGGAATGGAGAGATAAATAGTAATGATATTGGTTATTAATACTTTGTGATGCTAGAAATAAGTCATCATCATCATGTGACATTATGTGCCAGGCATGTATTTTATATGGCTTCATAGACATAATTTTTAATTTTTAAAATTCCTTGAAGAATAGCTACTAGTAAACACTTTCAGTGAAAAACAATCTCAGAAGTCACTTGGCAAAAACGTGGCTAGGCCAATTCTTGAATCCAGACACTGATTGCCTGCACCTCTAGAGAAAAGATAACCATTTCATTTCAAAGCTATCTAGATGTGTCAATATTTTCTTTCAGGTCTATTAGTTTAAGCTTCATTTATCACTGTTGCTGACATAACTCTTATTGTATTACTCTCTCATTATTTGAATAAAAGAAAATTGTTCACCTTTACATTATGAAGAAATTCCATGATAACCAAGAGAAATTAAATCACTTTATTTCAGGTATATTTATTGATATCCCAATTAATAAAGGCAGGAAAAAATATACCTGAACTTTGTTTTCTCATTATTAGTTTGTTTCATATTTGAGTAGTAGTCATGTAATGATCAGAGGTTCGAACCACCTCTGATCATTTTAAGATGCATCCTCAATTTTGTTTCAGTAATAGAGTGAAAACAGAAGATCTTATAGTCTTCTCTTAATTTGAAATTAATTTTATGCCGGAAATCATACCTTTTCATACAGTCTAGCTGTAAAATAGTTACATGTTATGCAAGGCATAACTATTCCAGATTCTGATGACAGAAACCTTTTTAAAACCTAGATTTAGAAATATAATTAACCTTGTAAATATTTTTAATATTTATGGCATTGTTGAGTAAAAGGTAACTTCTAGTTGCCCTGATTCCCAAATGGTACAGCATTGTCTGTAGACTTGTCCAGCCTGGGGCTCATGGGTCACAAGTGTGCCAGGATAGTTGAGAATATAGCCCAACAGATTTGTAGACGACATCATCTTGCAGTATCAAATGTTGGAAACTCCCAGCTACATTATCACCAGTTTTACCTGGATTAATGAAGTCCAGCAAATTTTTATTTATGTTTTCTGAAATTTTAAGGCTAGGATATATTTTAGTAGATATTTATTTTACTTTACAGTTGTGGTTTTGTAAAGAAAAGAAAAAGTAGAACTACTCACAGAAAATCATTATAATTTTGAACACATTTTCTTTATTGTTTATACTTCTTGGGGTAAATACTCAAAGCATCCATATATTTGCCATGACCTGGATGATAGGAAACAAATTATATACATTTGACTAATTCATACCTAGAAATATAAACAGATTTTTCCTAGAAAAGTTCAAAACCTTCTTTATCATCACACACTCAGTAGGAAGTTGAGCATTCTCCTAAAGTTAATGAGTATTGGAACACAAATTTCTACACAACTTAGTGAACAACACCTCTAAAACCTGAACCTCATAAGATGAATACCTTACTTGTGTTTTGTCTTGTTGCCTTTTTAGTAAATGTCTAATCAAAATATCTATTGCTAGACAGTGAATCATGAAAGAGGGATCAAATAAAAATACTACTAAAGCTACTTTGTGACAGAGCTGAGCAGGAAATAATTTTGTGTTCTTTAAAATTGAGATTAACATTTAAGCCAGAGATGAGAATCTATAAAGTGTAAAAGTGATGCTAAAAATTACCATACTGAATTGAGGAGAATGGTTCCAATAACTAATCTCTTTCTCAAACATAATGGGATTGCTGAAATATATTAATTAAAATTGAAAAATATATAAGGGATTATAAACCTGTAAACTTGAAAGGCCCTATCATATTTAACAAAATAAAGTCAATTTAGAAGAAAAAGACATTAAAAGAGCAGCTTGTGCGAAGTTTGTTGGATCTGTTCAAAGAAGACAGTACTGAGTTAGCTCAGTTTATCCCAATTCGAGTAACACCTTTTCCTGTACTTGCTTGTGACCTAAGAGGCCTTGGATTGCTACACGTGTTTCATGACCATGGAAGCTTTGTACTTTCTAGTGTAAAGCTGTTCTGCTCTTTGGGGAGGTCCAGTGACATACTCTGTGCAGCACTCCGCAGATCATCTTCGTTAAGGCTCTCAGATTTTACAGTTGGAATCTTAAGTCCTTACTTTAGGTACTGAAGAGAAGGTTCCAGGAGTGAGACCATTACTTTCAACCTAACGTCTCTTCTTTCAGGATTATGATCAGGTCAAGTATGATTTGTTTTTTTTCCCCTCCCATTGAAGCTTCAAGTTATATAGCTGTACCTGACCCCAGTGTCCTGAAACAAGGCTTCTGTAAGGACCCTTCAACCTGGTCTGTGGATGAAGTGATACAGTTTATGAAACATACAGATCCTCACATAGCAGGCCCCCTCGCCGACCTCTTCAGGCAACATGTAACGTATCTTTTGATCCGGTTTTCCTGCTGCCCTTATGCCTTTGAATGACCTCTGTGCAGGCCTTTCAGTTTGCTACTGAGTTGTATGGATGGTGGGGGAACCATGTCAACTGATCTTTTTCATTTGTGAGAAGGATTGCTTTGCCCAACATTCAGGCCTTAAATGGTAGGTTAACTGACTGTTCTTTAAATGGGTATCTAAGAATCTCGTACACTAAACAACCTCAGGTTTTCAAGAGGTGGTATTATAGGATTGCCACTCTCGTGTAGACTACCCCTTCTTGTAATGACAAATACAAGAACCCTCCCCCCAACCTGCTCCCTGTTCTATTCTAGGACCATGAGTAGGAGGGGTTGACTCACAGCATATACCAGGGTGGCCTTCTTGTGATACCCTGTGAAAACAGCAACTTCATTATAATTTGAATAATAAATAATAGGCTTTTATGACATAAATTGTATACTTACAATAATAAAAAGTTTTAAAAGGATTCCTTGTGATGTTAAGCAATGTGTTCACAACATTTTCTAATATAAAATCATTGGTTTAATGTCTGGTGTACACTATTTTATGCGTGCGTGTGTGTGTACACATGTGTGCAGGTGCAAATGCACATGTGTCTATGTCTTATGGGAGCCAGAGGACAATCTCAGGTATCATCTTCAGGAAGGCTGTCGAGCTTCCATTGACACAGGTCTCTCATTGCCATCTGGGGGCCAGTGTCCCCCAGGGATTATTATGTCTTTACCTCTTCATTGCTGGAATTTAAGTACATGCCACCATGTCTGGCATTTTTACATGGATTCTGGGCATCCAACTCCAGTCTTCATGTTTTCAACACAAGTGCTTTACTGACTGAGCAATCCTTCTGAGCCCCTCTTCAATATTTTAAGTAAATCAGTATCTGTTTCAACACCTAACTAGCTTCAGACAGCTGATTACCTTTCAACATGAAGATGAAACTGTAAAGCATGTTTACAGTTTTCATTGGTAATGGCATACTCTTTCCCTTCTCAGAAAGTTAATAACATGAAATTCATTTCTACTATTCTTAGTCTTTAACTATTTGTCATAAATATGTGCTAGTATTTTGTTCAGTACACAGTAAAGTCAGATACTTTGGTACTTAGAACATATATTGAAAGTACAGGGTTAAACCTTTTTCTTAAAAATTAGATTAAATTTGTAAATTGTCAAATGATGTTCCATTGTACAAATCAAATTTTATTAGTTTTCATAGACATATATCCAGAGAATGAATATATATACATATATATGTGTATTTATATGTATGTATATATAGTACAATACTGTATAAACTAACTATAATTTTCTTCTCTCTATAGGAAATTGATGGAAAAGCTCTACTACTACTGAAGAGTGAACTGATGATGAAGTATATGGGGCTGAAACTAGGACCAGCATTAAAACTATGTTACTACATTGAAAAACTTAAAGAAATAAAATATAATTGAAAATATGCAAATTTAGATTAGAGACAATTCTCAGGTATACTTAAAATGTTTTACTTTAAAAGTAATTTCCTTCTCATCAGTTTGTATTTTATAAAAGGTTTTTATAAAAATATTTTATCAAAATTGTAGTACAATTACATTGATAGTATGTTCTTACTCTTTAAACGACATTGAATATGTTTTATTAGCATACTTATAACTGACAATTTATTATTTATGTCTTTAATTATTTTTATTGTGTTTACAAGTATACTTCATGTAGCAAACAGAGGAAAACCTTTTATTAGGATTAATTTTTATATCTAGAACCAAATAGCTAAACCCCAAAGGGGAAAATACCAGCAACGTAATCTCTATTACAAAACCATGGCAATTTTCTCTCAAAAGAGTTTAATGGTGCACTTAAGTTCTCATCTCCTTCCCCATTCTTCTGTTCATGGTACACTACTACTAGAAAGGAAAGAGCCATATAAATTATTTTCCTTTCTTTTCATGCCCTGGTGGTGTATTTGTTCATACAAAGGGGAAAAAAGCAAGTTTATAAGCTTGCATAAAGTGTTCTTACTAGTCTTTGATATTTTTAGGATAGATTAAAGTGAATAATTTTTGTGGAGGAGATGTTTATTCTACAAGAGTGGATTGGATGGAATTGGATAAACTTTATACCTATTTAATAATTTTCTGAATTTTTGCTAAGCTCAAACATTAGACATTCAATCCTGACATGTCTATTTCCAAGATATTTGTGTCCAATTTTTAAAAAATTATTTTATTTTGTGTTTATTTTTCATATGGATACTTTAGCATATTTATATACTATTCTATATTTGTGAGAATACACAAGTGATTTTTTGATTTATTATGGCACTTTACACTGCCACAAAGGTAATAAAGAACTATATATAGATGTTTATTCCATCAAAAATATGTACATCATTTTACTAATCCCAGTAGCTCTCAGCTTATTATTCAGGTGTTAAACTCTACTTAGATTGGCTCCCACATAGGGAAGCTCTTTATTCTATGCAATATTTCTAATTAATTTACTTATTGAGCCATCAATTCTACTACATTTTAAAAAATACATTAATTCTTACACTGGGGCTCTATTTTTATAAATGAGAGCTTTCAAAGGAAAATGATACTGCGTGCCATTACTTTATATAGTGGTGTAATACATATAAGCTGTCAGAATCAGTTATACATGTATTAGCCATTTGTTCTAAATGTCAACAAAATGTTCACCAGGAAAAGAATGTCCATTTTCTCTTTAAGAATACCAAATGTGTTTTATATAACAGCAGAAATGTATAAAAGATTACTTCACCTATGTCATTTCTGGAAAAACTAGATTCTTAAAATTGATCTTCTTGCAAATTGTTTGTATGAAGATGCTATGTCCAGTTTAGTGGTCCTCAGGTGTTTATAATACTATGTTTTGTTATCTTCAAATTTGGAGAATATAATAAAGTTAAATAAACACAGCAATTAATACCTGAGTCTGAGATTTTCTTTTACTTACCTTCTCCACAGTGTATTAATATGTGGGCTTGTTGGTCTTGTAAAACAGGACTTTGAAACTACTTAGTTCTGTACTTAACAGTAAACCCTGGTTTTCCATACCTCAGGAAAGATGCTACTTGCAGTTTTCTGTGTAAGTGAAGTAGCTTGAAATCTCTGGGGCTCATTCTAAAGGCTGAAGCTGTCACATCTTATGAAGTTCCCTGAAACTGACCCAATGTGAAACTATGTTGGGATAGAATATATACATACACAAATGCTCGCCATCAGAATACACCATCAGATAGTCTTTCTTTCCTCTACTTCCTTTGTATTTTAGAATTTCACATGAACAGTAAATATTTAAGATATCTTTCTCGAGAGTGCTAAGAATCAAACCCAAAGTGATCTATCACTAAGCCATATCTCCAGTCATTTAGTGTTTTCAGTCTCACCTATATAACTTAAACTGACCTTGAACTCACAATGCTTCAACCTCTGTGGTGCTAGAATTGTATGAGTGTGCTTATATTAATTTCTGCTTAGATATTTAATAGTTGGTATTAATATTGTTTTTAAATAAAAAGGTAAAGTGAGGATTTGGAGACATTAGAACCCTTGTATGCTAGTGAAATTTAAAATAGAGTTACTGTGTAAAACAGTTACTATGTTATATATCAAATCGCAAAATTTTTAAAAAGCAGCATCCGATGCTTAGGATATCAGTATTCCAAACAGTCTAAAGGTAAAAATGAATCTTTATCATTAGATGAATGAAGTATGAAACACACTGTGTATGCGTGTGTGTGTGATTTATTCTTTAAAATGAATGAAATTCTGACACATACTGCCAGGTGAATTACATTAAGCCAGGCACAAGGACAAATACTGTATGAATCCACTTACATGAAATTCAGAAATAGAAGTAACCAGGTGGTCGTTAAAAAGGGAATGGGAAGTTACTGTTTCGTTGCCCCAGAATTTCAGTATGGAATGAAAGAAAAGTTGTGGATTTAGATAGTACTAATGGTTGTACAACATTGTAGATACATGTAATATTCATTGTATATTTACAGTAGTAAAGTAGTAAATTTGTGTATATTTATCAAGGTAAATTAGAATAAAAGAAAACGGTTGAAGTAATAGATGTAAAAAGATAAAAAAGCATTTTTCTCTACAAATACTCAGGAGTCATGTAGAAGAGTTCCATTTTAAAGATAAAGCATTCTTTTTTTAATATTTATTTATTATGTATACAATATTCTGTCTGTGTGTATGCCTGATGGCCAGAAGAGGGCACCAGACCCCATTACAGATGGTTGTGAGCCACCATGTGGTTGCTGGGAATTGAACTCAGAACTTTTGGAATAGCAGGCAATGCTCTTAACCTCTGAGCCATCTCTCCAACCCCAAGATAAAGCATTCTTAAAATATCTAGGCTGATTTATTTCATCAGTCCCTCTTTCAATCCCATGTCTCTTAGCAGCTGTCTTGCTTATCAGCAACCAGAAAAGTTAAAACCGATTCCCTGTGTATTTCCCATCTCAAGTAGCTTTTTTTATATTGCTTTTATTCTCTTTAAAGACTTTATTATTTTAAACAATTTTTTTACATTTTAAGATTTTATTTATTTATTTATTTATTTATTTATTTATTTATTTATTATGCATACAGTGTTCTGCCTACATGTATTCCCACACCCCAGAAGAGGGCACCAGATCTCATTACAGATGGTTGTGAGCCTCTATGTGGTTGCTGGGAATTGAACTCCAGACCTCTGAAAGCAGCCAGTGCTCTTAACCTCTGAGCCATCTTTTAAACAATGTTTTCTAACTGTCTATACCCTTTCTCATTTTTTTAAGCCTATGCATATTATTAAACACCTTTTAAAGAAGATTTTCCATCTGAACCTCTTCTACTGCATATCTTTTAGACTTTTTTGACGGAATAAACCTTTAAACTGCTAAGTGGTGTGTCTAGGACCTCTGTGTGGCTTTGGTGGCTGGCTGTGCCTGCTTCTCTGGTCACGAAAGCCAAGCCTAAAGCCTAGTTGGAGGTTCCTTTGACCAGGAA